ACAAAAATATTCCTGACGCATTTATATTTCTCGCAATCTCATTTAGTATCAAAATAAGACAATATCAAAATAAAATCACTAATTCTTGTTCTCCTCTGTCGAATTGAAAAAGATTGACTTACTATATTGAGACAAGAGTAACTTTGTGTATCCTTGCGTTTGGAATAAATTTTCCCCCCATCTTACAACGCACGAAGTTGGCACCTCGATATTCGACAAAAGACGATACTATCATTTTATTCTAGATTTTAGAATTTTTCATTTGAGATTAAATTATTCCTTTCTCTATAATAAATACGATTGGCGCTATATCGATCTTATCTTATGATACATTCAAGTGCAATAGCATTAGATCCGGAAATTTTTTCTATGGGTGCATCATTGGCCTTCCCTCTGCGTATATTTTATTGAATTCCGATCTAAATTCGTCGGCGAGTAATCTCCGACGCGGTCTGGCCTGAAAACGAGTTCGAATTCCCGCATTATGCATGCGTCGCGCAAAGTTCCTTCGGCGGGGGCGCAGGCGTTCGCGAGCGATGATTAAACGATTAAGCGATCTCCGGGGCGCTAATGTAATCCGCTAACGCGAGAGATCAGCGAACAAATTGCGTATTATACAGGAGGATCTCGGGCTTTTCCCCAAAACGGTAATTTCCGAAACGGGAGCAGCTTAGGCTGATGCAAATGTCTTAATGAGGGGCGATATTGCGCGCGTGTAGAGGCTCCCCCCCCCTCTCGCTTAAATCACTATCGACGGTGCCTGATGAGGGGATCGATCAACCCTCCCCCTCCCCTCCCGTTTCGTCATAATTCCAACGGATTTGTTCTCCGGACGTGATGCACGCATGATGCAACTTGACGCAACTTGACGCGCGCGGATTTATTGTACATTTGCATAGCCGCATAAACAGGTTTACGCTCGTTTATTAATATGTAATGCGTTTGATGCGCGCGACGTTATTCGAAAATTACGCGACGCGACCTCTCGCCCTCCTACGAATAATTTATTTATACGCCGTCTCCTCGCAATCTCTCGAGTTCCAGCGCGAACCGTCTTGATAGCGGAGTCGGGATTCTGTTGTGCGAGCGAAATTAAAGTTGAATATTAACCGTGGGTTGTAGACGAGGGGGATTATAAAATCTTTTTCACGAACGTGGAATGTTTCAACAATCTTTCTATATTGAAATTAACTGCTGTCGCGTTTCTTTTATTCCTTTTCCCTGGTCGCTGGTTCTCGGAAAATTATTAGATACTTATGTTACTCCAGTTTACTCGTTGCAGAAACCTACGCGCTTTCATTCCATTATTCGACCGGTGACGTAACTATTCATTACTTTTACACAATTCTACACTTATAATGACTCGTTGTTCCGTGCAAAAGGATTATTAAGAAACTCATTTTATTGTGTCAATCCCGGGAGCAAACAGTCTCCCGCTTTATTTTTACGAAGTTCTGTTTGCCCCAAACAGTCTATAGGTATATCGATCTTTCCTTCGTCGAACGAGAGACATTTTAATAACGACGTCTACGAAGACGAAGGCACTCGTCTAAACGAGAAATGTTCACAAAAACGGGTCGGATTACCTGACGGTAGGTAACCCCGGCAGGGCGGGAGTTCGGAGGCTGTAGAGAGCCCGGGCTCACCTTATTGGATCCCCGGGTTATCTTGGCCCAGTTTGAGAAATAATGCCACCCAGTCGAGCCTTCCCTTCGTTTGTTTGAGTTGTTTGACGAGGAAAAACGATATTCGCCGCCGCGAGCTCGCGCCGCCTCGCTCTGGCCCTGGGCGCGGACTCTCATCTTCCGCGCTCCCGTTCGCCAGGATGGAATTTATCGCGGACTCCCGCCGCGAAATTGCGCAACCGGATATCGAATTAATACACGAGCGTCGGAGATATAGATAAGCCGATTATTTGAACGGCCATTGTGTGTTATGTCATATTTCTCGCGCTCCGCTTCCGTTTTCCGTTAGGCCGAACGGCGTATTTGCGCACGGGAGACACGCTCTTTCTCGCTTGCATATTTTCATTCGACCGAGGGCTTGACGTAAAAGCCCCGGCGTGTTTTTGAACGCTCGCAATCGTCGTAACGGAGGGGGGGGTGGAAACCGCGGGAGAATGGTTTCGGGCAGTTTTATTTTCTTAAATAATATAAGTTTGATACTTTTATTTTACCATCCCTAAACTCCGATGCATGTAACGAAGGTGATTAATTAACGGAATTCATTCGTATATTCGCGGTAACTTTACACGTGCAATTCGCCACTGAACCTTGTTCGACTCCGTGCGAGACGGGACTTTTTTCGATGACGAAACATTCGATATTAATGAATCTTACGATTTTGCGACGAGATTGTCGCCGCGAATAATCATTTTTCCGAGCCTCGCCGTAAAGAAAAATGTTTCCCGTCAGGGCCTACGCACATACAAGTCCTAACGCCTGACGCACTCCTGTGTCAGCAGAGGAAAAAAAAGATATATTTCTTGACAGATTCCCGGCCTCCCCTGCCAAAATAATGACGCGTAGACGAAGATATATCGCGAGTAACGACAATGTGCTTCCCATGGCAGAGATATCTCTTGACGTAACTGCGCGGGATTCCGCACGCGTTTTCCACGCGACGAGCATCTCAAATAAATTCCAATATCACGTGCGAATGAAGTACATGAAAACCTCGGGAAAAAATACGGCTAATATTGAAAATAAATGTCAAAGATACATGCGTAATATATGTATACTTGAATAAGAATACCGAAAGGTATTTAAAAGATAGGAACAGATTTACAGAAGTAAAATCATTACTTCGTTGTTGCACTGATAAAAAAAATATTACTTTACTCAAGAAAATTATTCATTAGGTGGCTTTTAATAGCTTATCAGCTTAAATTAAAAAATAATAAACAAATTAAAACATGCATTTCTTTAATTTAAGTATTTACCGAGGGGGTAACCGCTGAGGGCATTGTAGTGTACAGATTTGCGACATTACTGGGCATTTCTTGGGCATTTTTGAGGCATTAGGCCTTGCTGCGGCATTATAAAGATAAAATAAGATAAGATTCTATAAAATGTTTACCAAGATATAAGTTTTGCAGCGAAGAAAATTGAATTTCGTATTTGACAAACACAATGATTTCATTTAATAAATAGTTTTCTGTATCTCATGAAATGTTTAGTTGAATGTAGAAAATGTAATGATTTAAATTAATTTACTTAATATAATACTTGAAATTTGATATTTAAATAGAATAAATATTGACTTCAGTAAGAAAAATAATTTTAATTAATTTTAAGTAAATCTATTTACTTAGTTCAAAAAAATGTTATTTTCGACGCAATTTTTTAAGTGAAAGATACTTTCTTGAGAGCGTTCTTTTTATTATCTGAGAGTTTTGAATAATTAATAACGTTATATAATGCTCCAGTAACGAGCGCGGAAATTTCAAACATGTTTGAATATGAATATACATATTTTCGGATATCCGAGTTAATCGTTTCAATATTTTAGCCAAACAGCAATCGTTAATATCGCGATTTGTACCGCCAATAAATAATCATCGTCACAATATGAATATATGAATGCATGAATGTAAATGCCCATAATTAATATAGCAATAATTATAATATTGAAATAGTGTCAATCACCTCGCTGCTGCGGATTAAGAAAAGAAGCGCTCATTACGCGATCGCGTGTATTATAGCTGGGTGAAAAGCCGGCGTGAAAAGCCGCGATCGCGGTATCGCGATAAATAATATTTCACCTTTTCGAAACGCGAGATTCCGATAAAGAGGCGGTTCATCGAAGCGGGGAAATACGCCGCGCCAGGAAGGAGATCGCCACAAAGGGCTCGGGTGCGCTATCACGACGATAGTGATAACGACCCGAGAGAGGATCCTACACGCTCTTTGACGATCCTCCCCGTTTCTCAACCGCGAAGAGGGTCATTCGGATCGCCCATAAAAGGATATTTCAAAGTTCTCCGCGCGAGGTATTGGATAAGACGGCGAGAATATTGAATTCTCCACGACCGAATGCCACTCTGGATACGTCCGAAATAACGTTTACCGGAGGCGATTTCCACCGGCGCCGCGGCAGTGGAAAGACGCAAAGGGACGTAATTTTACTTTTGACCGCCGAGCCTCATTCTCCCGGGACGTCGGTTCCGATGTGTCAAGACTGCAACGGCGCCTTTGACGAGCAAATCGAATCGACGTAGACGGTAAAGGGCCGCAACCGCGTCGTTGCACTCGCGCGCACTGAATTCGCCATCGTAAATTGCCAAGGATTGGCAGCCCGCCAAGGCAGATCTTTCCGTTACCGAAACAAGACTCGAATCGGATTTCTAATTTCCGTTTCAACCGTTTATTTCTCGGCCACCGCTTTCTTCGTGAAACGTCTGCAAATTCAGGACTTTAAGAAACAACTGTTTGAAATTGTCAGGTGGAAAAAAAAACATGTTACGTGCCAATACTAAAGATGTCACGTAAAATCGTCTATAATTAAACAACGCGTGAATAACATTTAATAATTCAATTACTATGAATTTTTAATAAAAGTTCCTGAAATAATACTCAATGCAACGTGTGCCTATATAAAAGTTAATTTAATATACAAAACCATATCTTTGTGATTAAATTTCTTTACTTTCTCGTGCAGAACTATTGTTAAAATGTATCAAGAACTCCAGAACTATGCGAAATCTATCCAGAACTCCATTAAAAAATTAGTTTTTACGAAAATGGGGGGCTGCGTGAAGTTAGCTCCCTATTTTAAAAAATTCATGGGCAGAACTATTTCTTAAACCCATCAAGAACTCTGGAACTATTGTAAATCTATAGGGAACTCGTAAAAAAAGTTAAATTTTTTAATAATGGGGGACTAACTTCACAGAGGTCCCTACACTCTATGACGGGCGTCTCGCCAATTCGATCACTGAGGCATGTGGTATATTTATCGCAATTGATTAACGCTTTCTTTTGTATGTTCCGCGGGAGCAGTCTCCGAGTTCGCCCAGGAGTTGGGCGCCGCGATGGAGAGCCACTCGGCGAACGTGCGACGTCTGGTCGACGAATTTCGCAGCCGTTCGGGCGACTCGAGGGTCGACGTCGGCGGTATGCGACGCGTCTGGGAAAGTCTGCTACGGCAGGTCGAGGCGGACGCGGCGTCTCACCTCGACCTGGCCGCGGTGCTGCAGCAGCAATTGTCGAGGCCCACCTTAGAGGCGAGCTTCCATCGTAAGCTGCAGTCCAGAAAGGTGAGAGCTCATCCCCCCGCGCGCGCGCGCGCCACGAATTCTGTTTTTTTTCCACGTCAATTTGTAAGTTTGTTCGCAAAGAACTTCGCGATGCTCCAAAGTAATTTCATTCGGTGACGCGACTCGTTGTGCGCTTACGATCTCTCCGTTTCCTCTTAAAGTCAACCAGTGGGTCGTCACTGAAAAACAATCAACAGCGATCTCGCAGTGGTACACTTTTATAACTGCGATCAGTGACTATCCACTGATGTCCATTTCTACTAACGCACTCTGGGAAAAGACAGTTAGCAACCCATTTTGGGGCCCACAATTAGTAATCGAATTAGTTGGATTATTCGTAACTCTAGTCTTCTACGAATTTTACCCCGCGTAACTAAAAATCGCAATTAGCTATTCTATCTATCCACAATTTTTTAATAAAACTAATCAATTCTCTCAATTAGTTCTGTCGATATTCAGTAACGGAAAGATATTTTTCACTTAAGAGGCACTAACCGAAACGTAAAGTTGCTTAACTAGAAAAAAAAACGGTCAAAAGTTGTCCCAGAGTAAAGTTACGAACAATCCAAGTAATTCGATTACTACTTGTGGGCTCCAAAATGGGCCGCTGTCTTCTTTTTCCCAGAGCAGATTAACTTTAATCCCGGTTTAACTCTTTACCTTTTCCCAATTGCCGAAGCTAGAAAAAGGCAGAAAGTAAGTTAAACCGAGATCAAAGTCGATCCGCGCCGGTAGAAACGGACACGATTGACTTGGAGAGAACACGAGCGTTTCGCCGCGACGATTAACGCCGGTATTGCCACCTCGCGCGATCGCAATTGCCATGGCAAACTATGAAAACACGCTTCGATCGGGGCTGCCGCTGCTTAGATATCGAGTCACGGGTGGCGACCGAGTTGGCGCCGCAATTGACGAACGCGGACGGTAAAGTTTCCCAAGCGACCCATTCGATTATTCGATTTGAGCGTTATGCATCTCGAATGGCATTTCAATTCGACCGGGAGACCGTCTGCTGACTGCTCCCGGGGTCGCGCGCCAACTCGCCCCGACCCCTCTTGCTCTCCGCGCGACCTATATACCGTGTCTTCGTGTTCCTGCAGATATTCGCCCATCGCGACGCTTACGAGCAGGTAGTTAGCAAGACGGAGGAGAAGTTGCAGCGCGCCCGATTGGATTACAAGCGCGCCTACGCGGCGTTGCTAACCAACGAGGCCGGCGGCGGCGCCGAGCAGGAGTTGAAGCGCGCTTACTTGGAGTCGCACAACGCCTATATCCTGCAGCTACGCGCCACGAACGCTATTACCGAGCGCTATCAGTTCCATTGTTTGCCGGGGCTGCTGGGCGAGATTGCGGAGGTCTACGAGGAACTTTGCGGGCTGGCCTGCAAATGCGTCGCCGGGATCTCGGAGGGGGCCGGCGAGCGATCCGGCGAACAGGCCAAGCGCTACCAGGTCGTGGCCAAGGAAGCGCAGGCGGTTGTACCGTCCAACGATCTACAGGTAACGCTGACGCGTCGACAAGAGTTAGGGCCTGAGCAGAATGGCTGTCTTGTACTGTTAAGGCTCGGTTTCACCAAACGTTTAATCTTAGTTTAGTTCATGTTTGTCTCATTCTAAAGTAACAGTTGGAAGGAGAGAAAGAACGAGTTGAGCTAAGCTTAAAGTTAAACAACGTTGGTGAAACCGGACCTAAGACGTAAGACAGTAACGTGCGTTACTTCAAAACGAAGACTTAAAATATAAAACATTGTCTTAAGGCTGTCTTAGGGCCAATTTCACAACGTCGATTAACTGTTAACCAGAGTTCAGTCAACCCCCTATATTTTTCTATCTCGTTCTCTAAGAAGAGACAGGGTCAATTAACCTTCGGTTAGCAGTTAACCGACGTTTGTGAAACTGGCCCTTGAAGGTATAAGACAGCCCATTCGACAGGCCCTTATCGAATCCGCGAGACACGACGCACGCTTCTCTTCCCTTCTTTCTCGCAGTGTCCCAGGCACTCCATTGCGATGAAAACGAAATATTGCCATCTCGCGGGAAGAAATAACGCGTGAAACTTGCCGCTACTTGTTGTTCAAGCAGCACCTACGGAACTTGCACATCGACGCTTGCGGGAAGACAAATTCCGAGTCGAATATCTTGGCCTCGGTATAATTTTTTAATTGCACTTGAAAAAGTTATAAATTTTCTCTCGAACATCTCAAAAGGTATTAGGCAAATAAAAAAATGTTTCGGACAACAGTTGTTTCTCGAAACCATACAACTTTTGTCTGAAACATTTCTGTTCGCTGTGCCTAGTTTTTGAGATACTTTACTGTCCAAGTTAAAATGCTTAAAATCGCTTAAATATAAGAATTGACTGTTGACAAGCTGGTCTTAGCGTGCAAGCAACCGGATTCGCTGCAACAACTTTATTCCTTCCTCTCGCGAGGCGAGATCCCTCGAGTCGCTCGGCGACATGACGGCGAGCAATACCGTGTCAATCTCGCGGCTCGATACGTCAATCGGGACCGATCGATCGCGCGCGGCAGATACGATGCCCCGACGACGATACGATTATACGAGTATTCCGGACATATTGATCACGCAAGCAGATAGACGTACCGGGCGCATATATCCAATTTCGGGGTGGCGAGGTGATCGCTGACGGCGGATTACAATCGTCGGTATTCGGAGAAGAGGGAGACGGAATGAAAACAGGGCCGGCCTGATTAAAGCCGGTTCATATTCGCTGTGCGGGGGCACGCGCGCCCGGGGATATTGGCCGCGCTCGCCGCGCGCACGTGTGTTTGCGCCCACGTGTGTGTATGTGTGTGTACGGCGAGTTAACTTGTTCGGCTGACCAAACACGCTGGTGTTCACTGATTTGTCCTCCTCGAATCCGTCGCTTCGCGCGCGGGCCCTCGTCGGAAATACCGATCTGTCACTTAACCCAGATTCGTCCGTCATCCTCCCGTGACATTCGCGCTCTTTTATTATATTTTTCGTGACGTTGATATTACACGGTGTATCTGCCGCCTATCCGGAGGAACGATGTGTCTTGCAGCACAAGGTGCTGCGGCTTTGTCTCTTTCCAAGGGGACAGTTAGAAAGAGACAAAGCTAACCCCTGTCAAGTTAGCCCCCATTATTAAAAAATTTAATTTTTTTAAGACTCCTCTATAGATTTACAATAGCTCCAGAGGTCTTGATGGGTTTGAGAAATAGTTCTGGCCATTTAGGGCATAAAAATGAACGTTGAAAATATGGGAGGCTAACTTCACGCAGCCCCCATTTAAAAGACAAGATTTTTTATTGGAGTCTGGACAGATTTCACGTAGTTCCAGAGTTCTTGATACGTTTTCGAAATAGTTTTGTCCGAAAAAGTACAAAAAGTCCAAGTCGAATAACCGAGAAATAAAGCTACTCGCTTTTAGTATTTTCGCCATAGCGTAAGATACAGAATTGGCCCCCTGATTTCAAAGACGTTGACCAATTTTTTTCTTCATCCATACACGAGAACGAAAAGTTTCCAACGTAAAATGTCGTCTTCTTTTGCAAATGTCCGGGTCAAATGCACGTCCCCGTCTTCTACGTTCGCGCCTCGAGAGATTTATTAATGCAGGAACGACGTACTTCCTTTCGGAGCATCGTCTCGCGGAGTTGAGGTTTTTAATTCGCGACCCCTGATATACGATTTGCGACGAAAAGAAATATTAAAGCCGGGGTAACACACGTCCCGCATAAATTTGCGATACCACGGTTACATTACATATGTATCGCGCGCTATATCATTCCACTTTTCAATTTATTCAGTCATTTCGCTCGCGGGTACGTTTCGCCCCGCCTTGTTTCTGCTTCATTTTCAACGATTGTTTAAGGCCCTGGCGCGAAATCTGTCCGCGAACGCGACGCCGCGGAAGCCGCCGCGACGCCTGTACGTCGCGCCGGCACCACCCGAGCAGATACCGATGGAGAGAATCAGTCAAATACCCACGCTCAGGGACGAACTGGTACCGACGGGCACCAGCACGCTCCCGCTGATGGAGGATCTCAAACGCGACTACGACGGCCTCAGCCAGGAAATAGGTCGTCTGCAGGACGCGCTGGACGCACTCGTGCGAATGCAACGCAAGTACGTCATTTTCTTTTCTTTTTATGCAACCGCGTATTTGCTCGACGAGCGTATCAGCCTGCCCTGAGGTAGTCCCCCTTTTTAACAAGTTGTCCGGCCAAGTTTTACATAGCCTACGACGTACGCGTCGCGGCAAAATTTTTATTATTCTAGAAATATAAAATATCGTGCGCCAAATGAGAGTTTATTCTCATGGGCGACATGAATTGTACACTTTTTATTTCACGTTGCAATTTAGCTATTGTGCGATGTCACTCAAAAAACTTTATATTAAATGGTAGGTTTTTGTTTTAAAATTTTTAGTTTTATGACATTTCGACGGCGCCGGTCGGCCGCCACGGCAGTCAGCGTGTTAATTGAAAAATATTGTACGTGTAAATTTGTGTTAGAGAAAAAAAAATAGATTTTATCTTTGCGAATTTCTCCCTTTCATTATTCATTCATCCGTAATTTATCACGCGACGCGACGTGAAACGTCTACAGAAAATATGTATGAATTTTATTGTTACTTGTGTCGATTTTTCATCAAGTATGCTTTCATTACCGTCTAAAAAGTTAATCGAGATTGCCCCGCGACTTTCGAACGTTCGTTACCTTCATCGCTATATTTTTCACCTGTTTCGGCCGGCGCGGTAGCTCGCATGGAAATCCGTCAGTTTTTTAATCTTTTAAGGGGAAAAACACGGGGGATGAGAGTTATTTTATCACTTCCCATTGCAGGAGCGCCGAGAGTAATCTTTACACCAAAGTAGCCGAGCTGCAGGAAGATATTTCTCTGAAGCGTCTCGACCTCGGCGTGGCGCAACTACGTCTAGCCGCGGTGCAGGCACAGGTATGCGACGTCCTTTGTCCTCCTTTAGCCACCGCCGTGTTACGCGCAAGTCGCACACTCATTATTTTATTCGTCCCTTATCCCGACACGCCGCATCTGCCACTTTATTCATCCGCGTGCGAATAGCGTAGGTACTCGGTTTTTATAATACGACACGCGCGTGTCAAAGCGCGACCCCGCAAGCTGTATCGTGCAATCGCGCGAATATTATGGAAAATTTTGCTTTTAGGGAATATAGCAATCCGGAACAGCAACGTGCGCGAAAAATATATATGTATATAAACACCAATGATGGTCAGGCTAGATCCGAGGGGGAAACCGCTGAGGGCATTGTGGTGTACAGATTTGCGGCATTACTAGGCATTTTGTGGGCATTAGGCCTTGCTGAGGCATTAAAAAGATAAAATGAGATAAAATCAGACAAAACAAGATAAATAAGATAAAATAAGATAATAAGATTAAGTAATGCCCACTGGGCATTAGTGGACATTGGTGTGTACAATATTTCGGTTAGCGGTTTCCCCCTCGATCTTAGCGAATTTGCCTTTGTTCAAACTTCGATCTGAGAAAATCTCATAATAGGGGACTTGCCTCTAATTATACTTGATATTATTTGAAAAAACTCTCATAAAATTCTTTGAAATGCCACTTTCAGGATAAAATTCTCTCCTAAGATCCAGCTTGACCGTTACGGTGTTTCTCTTGTCTGTGTGTTATTCACATGAGACGGTCTTATTTAATCACTTATTATCAATTAAAATATATATGTAGAAAACTGCTGGACGACTACACTCTAGGTGGGCGTGTCGCCAATTCGACTTGGTCGAACTTGGTTCGAAGTGTAGGGAAGTCCAGGTTCAAACCCTGGCTGAGGTAATATTTTTCGCAATAAATTTCTTCAATTAGAATTTCCCGGGCAAGCGTCGTCTAGCAATTCTCTACATTGCAGTTAATCATGTACCGGCGTCAAATAATTCTTTACGTTAAAATATATATGTTGCGGAGTAAGATTTCGGTTAACATCTAGGGTAGAGACCTATGTTAAATGCCTCTATGTTCACGACCTAAAATTGATCTATCTCTCGCGTTCTCCCCATTTCATCCAATTTGTCCGCGCGTGGCATCGAGCCTCATCTATGTGCAGTGTGGCTGCGCCAGTGAAGGGCTGCTCAATTGTTCGCGCGTTATTAACTTAAGGTGAAAATTGCGCCATCCAGAATTGACCAAAAAAAAAAAAAGAGGATCGTTGAGAATAGCGAAATCACCGGTAATCGAGCGCCTCCAAGTAACTAATTAATGTGATAATAATTGCAGACTGATGGCGGGGCGCGATCTCACGTTTGCAAAATAATTACGTTACTTCATACAGTTATAAATATCACCGAGCAAACCTACGTTCGTTAAAATATGTTGGCAAATTGGATTTATCTTTCCACGGGAAAATTCAATTTTGTTAATGCATTTCTGAAGTAGATTAAGTGCATATGACGGTGTAACTCGAAAAGGGGAGATAAATTTATTTCGTAAAAAGAAACATTGTTGTATAATCTGAAGAGGATTAAATTTAAAAGTGCGCCGGCTAAGGTAATTTTAGCGCGGGAGGGGAAAAATAGCGCGGGGCTGCGCCAACAGCTGTGAGCGAAGCGCGTTTGCGGACGCTCGGTCTGCCCGGCGCGAATTTGGAGGCGCGATCTCTCGATGCGTGCGTAACGTTGACAAATACGAGCGGCTCGTCCGCCGAAAAGTTTCCCCGAGTGGGAGGCTCGTCCGTGGCCATTCACTGGCGATTGGTCATTCACTGGTGCCGCTTTAGCCTAAACGCCGGATAAATACTGGCGCGCGCAATCGCGCGACATGCGCCCTCGCAACTGGGTCATCGGCGAGCACGAGCGTCTGAAAATCCATTTCTGGCCTCGTCGAGAGAGTCCGTCTATCCAGGTCAGGCGAGCAGGATCGTTGCCTGTCTGGCCGCGCGCCGCCGTTTTCACCATTGCCCGTCGTAATATCGAATCGTGGTCGCGTCCAGCCTAAACGATGGGGTGGACTACGTTACGCACGCGAGTCGTTAGTATTTTTTTCCTACCCCCCTGGTGAATTATCGTTCCTGACACGCTGGAGCGCGAGATGCCGCGGACGCCGCATGAGTCCAGTGGACTCGCTCGACGAATAGACCGCCCTGGTTGAAAAGTGCTTAACAGTGCTATGATTTTTACCAATATTATAGCGTATCGCGCTGGCTGTGACAACGCTTCGTATCGATATCGCTGCTCATCGATCGGTTCGTTTTATTCTCAAGACTGCGTCTACGTGACTCTAATCTGGTCTTACGTTTAATCGTGTAATATTAACAACTTAAACAAAATTGAAAAATGTACATTAATGCATTAATCAAGTTTGCATAACGATTACACGAACGTGGGGGACGCTGTGTTGTTAGACGGATAAGGAGTTGTTCATTGTGAAGTCGCGCACAAAGAGGCTAATGTTGCGACAGTGAACAATGGCCGAGTATATTCTCAATGACCACTGGGGATCAATGAAAGTTGACATGCACGTATTGTCAATGAGTCATGTATACTCCCGCGGTTGCAAACGGACGGTATCTCCATGGAAACATTGCAACCAGGGCGGTGTATCGACGGATTTTCAGGCTAACGTGTTGCTAAGCGCGACAGATATCGCGACGGGGATGAAATTCTTAATCGTAGGAGGAGCAAACCTTATCCCCCGCATCCCCCGTGGAAACTACGAAAGTGCAGTATAATTGCCGCTCAAGGGTCCGTAGAGGGAAACGCGCTTATGGTTTAGAAATTTTTTTTTTTTTTAGGCTCGGGAGTAACCGCTGCTCGCGAGACTTGTATGCAGCGACTGTCGGTTTCACTTGATTCGAGCGAGGTTGAAAATACCGGGGATCTCGAATCGACCGAGTGAAACTCACGCGGTCTCGATCGTTATCGTCCGCAAGACGGCATGTGTAATCATGTGTAATGTGATGTAATAACGGCGGAGGAGTCGCTGAGATGACGCTCCCCACGTGGATGTAGATTAAACTCATTCCGAGTCACGTGTCCGTAGGGCTCCTCGTTCCCATTCATAGGGACCGCATGAACACGCGAATTGACACGCGGAGAGGCGCGCGGCCGTGATCGTCTTTTGGGGGCGATTCCGTACGTAACGGCAATGGCCTCCTCGCTCGCTCGCGACGCGTAAACTCACGCAGAATATCGTAAATCGTCCCTGCATACGGATTCGTTAATCTGGAAATCTCGCGTGGCGCAGCATTTTATTTGCGGTTATTCGATTCCCAGCATTAATTATTCTGATAATCGAGCCTCGAGATAAAATGCTGTCGGGATCTAATTTAACGAGGTTAAATAAAAAAAAAGTTCAGTTTTGCATACCTTGGACACTAATCCTCTCTTACTTTCGAAACTTTAATTATTCAAGATTGCATTTGAGACTTTATATTCGCAAAAGTAAGAAGAACGTGCCTCGATATTGGAAAAGCATCGTACACTTCGCGAAAATAATGAAATGATAAACCTTTCTGGGTTGATTGCTACAAGAGCAATCGCGGATATATGTTATATGCGTGTCGAACATATCGTGTTAAATAGTAATGAAATTATCGAGCCACTGAATTATCGAGCATATTATATCGATAAAAAATATGGGAGAGTACATGCATTTTCTATAAATTGCCTATAACAGAAAGAACTTTTCGGGGGCGGGGAGGCTGGGCAACCGGACGGAGTGGCCAGTCGGAAGATGTCGAACGGTTCGACCGGAAGTCCCAAATTGAAGTGGCTGAAGGCGTTCAAGAGCCTAAAGACCAGCTCGCCCACAACGCCGCCGCTGTCCGACAAGTGAGCTACTTATTTCCTTTTCGCTAATACCAATTTCCACCACGTGCATGCCGCGAAAAAAAAAACTCCCCCCCCCGACAAAGTTTCCGACGCGACGGAGATGGTTTTCCACACCGGGCGACGCCGGGAACTATATTTGCCCCCTCTCTATATGTACTCTTCGGTGCGAGTCCCGGAAATGAAAGAGGATCACTTTTGCCTTTCGCGTAAATCCGACGTTGATTGTCTCCATCCGTGTTTCTCTTTGCTGAACTTTGTTTCGCGACGCTCAGTAGAAAATAGCGCAGCTGGATGCATTCGTGGGATGCGCAAATTGAAACGCGTGTAAGATAACGCCGAGAGAAGAAATAGAGACGGTTGTGCAAGTCGAAATTCCATCTCGAAGGGATGTGCCACTTAAGATCATGCACTCCGATCTTTCTTCTTCGCTCGTACGCATCGTATATTTAATACGAAAAGAGAAAGGAAACTGTTTTGCGAATCCTACGTGACGTGTGCATGAAGAAATGGAATAACGAATGCTCTTCAAGGATTAGACATATCGCTTTATCGTGATGTAGATAGTTCGACTCAAGTTCAAACGTTACCTTCACGCCCGTTATTTTTAATAAGGAGTTAGAAGTTTTCTCTCGAATTTCTAGAATGTTAAAATAGGAATGTAGTCGCCGTAGCGCTCTTACTCGATATCGATGTGTTAACTGAATTAAATGCGAAAGTTCTGCAAGGAAAGCGAGGGGGGGAAAGGGTGTTTGTATTTCGCAGACAATTCATTCGTCAAACATTTCGCTTGCAATGGAAACACCGGAAACATCTCGGAAAACAGACCGGCGCGGAGCAAATAGAGTTTTTCTTGTTGCACCTTCGCATACACCCATAGAGCGACCTGTTGTCAAAGTCAATTTTCAAGACGAGACGTTCGAGTTAATATATGCTTTTACTTCCGTGTGCTTTTGTAAGTTTCCCAATTAGGGGAACCATAGACGTTAGACGAAAGGGACTTTGAATAACCGTAGATACTGTTTTGCGAATGCTCGACTAATAAAGAGGAAAGCAGGCAACCATGTACCATGCAGTCTCCACCGTCGTCGCCATGTCCAGGTAAGTTGCCAGATTGTTCGTCAACAGTTGACACTTGCGATTGCACTTCTGACATTTGGCGATGGATATTACTTGAAACGTTAAACACAAAGTTTTTACTACTTAACACCGGAGAGAGAGAGGAGAGCTGATTCTTTTCTTATTACTTATTCTTACATACTAACGGACCGCACTGAGATCCTCATATGTTTTAACAGAGTTTCTTTTATGTTCTTTGTTAACCCTTTGAAGCATACATTTTTCTATTGAACCAGTTTTTGTGAAACTTTGTACACAAGGGTATCTGGGGTCGCCGATTACGAATCCGTAATCAGAGTTTCATAATTCAAAATAGCGGGTTCAGGATGGCGGAATTCAATACCTAAAGGAATAACATCGTTCAACTGTAATTCAACTATGCTAAGAAACATCATTGATATATTATTAGGACCCATGAGATCTAAATTCCAGTTGAAAATTCTTATAGAATATAAAAGAAATAACGTGCGCGAAATGGCGGAGGCAAAATTGAAATCTGATCATTTCTTAGAATTTACTCATTCTTGGCACCACCTCGGGCACCACGCAGAGCTAACGACGCAATACCGTAATCAAACGAAAATGCTGAAAAAGTGAGCTACCACCATGCTTCAAAGGGCTAATCAATGAAAAGAGAAAAGTGCTGCATCATACGCGATATCGCTATATTAACCCTTTCATGACCGAGTTATTTTTCTGTTTATTATCATTATTTTTTTAAGTGGGACATTAGCATCCCAAGGAACCAGACAGCCAAAGAGCGTAAGCGTGGGACTTGGTCCAGTGGTCCCAGTGGTCACGAAAGGGTTGACGTTACTCTCGGATTTAATTCTCGCGGACAAGATGCATACGATTTCCAATTTAATTTAACGCACTCTTCCCGCAAGAGCACGTGTGACGAACGGTAATAACCGCACGATCGCAACGCAAGAGAGCACGCGGCACGCCGAGCCTATTTTCGCGAGAGAACCCGTGGTGCCCGTGAACAGGGGTGTGATTGCTTTCGCAGGAAGAGCCTCGAGTCCGAGGGCGGGCACACCTGGCGCGAGTACACGTACCGCAAGATCACGCCGTGCGACGCGTGCGGTCAGGTGCTGCGCGGCCACAGCCGCCAGGGCGTCCGGTGCCGCGGCTGCAAGGCGAACGCGCACACGGACTGCATCAACATGGTGCAGCCGGTTCTGTGCCCGAGCCTGGCGCCGAAGAAGGGCGGCGGTATACCGCTTCTGCGGCGGCAAAAGACGCAGGTGGCCGACGAGGTGCCGGCGTCGTCCGAGCACAGTGAGTACCCACCAAGTCAGATCCCACGCGCGCGAAACCCACGCCGCGACGCGTTCTTCCTCCCGCCTCGCCACGCCTTTCACCCCGCCATCAGCGACAGCTCTCTCATTGTCGAGGACGCTTTGTCGATGAACGAGGGGAACCGGTCGATTTCTCGATAAGCCCGTTTATCTCTCGCCGATTGGATCGAAGATCTTTCCTCTTTCCCCCCTTTTCCTGTTCCGCCGGGAGAACGTCGGGTTTCCCTTCATGCATGACGCGTTAGTTAGACTCGAAGGTACAGCCAACGCCGAGAGGATTTTTTTTTTCGCAATTTCTCTCTGTCGTGTTGTGCGTGTGGCGACGAGTGAATGGATTCGAAAGAAAGAACAGTGGAGCTCGAGAAATGAAAGTCATTACAATGAATCGAACGAAACTTGCCTCCATGCACTGGAGAATTTACTTATCGAGTAATTCGACAGAATATGAATTAGATTTTTAATCTAAGAATTGTTCAATGTTCTCGGAACTTGTCCTACAATTCCATTCATTCGCAGAGATTGTGTATAACTGTTGCATATTAAAAAGTAGTGAGAGAGTAAAATGCTCGCCTGCGGGGTTGGATTCGATACGAAACTCAGTAATCCTTGTCGACTAAAGTCTGTTTATCTTGACAAAAATTTCACTGGACAACACTTGTTCTCAAGATTTTATCACACTGAAAAAAAAGTCTGATAGGTTCAACCGGTCGTCCGTTAGAAAATGGACGAATCAGAATTTCTTTCAGACGACTGGTTGAATCTATCAGATTATTTTTATTCAGTGCACGAACGCGTCAAGTAATGTGAATTAAGATTCTGCTAAAGTTGAACTATTTGAGAAAGGGGACTCGTTATTTCCCGACGGAGCATCTCTCTGCACTACGACTTAACTCGCGAATTCGTTCGTTCGTTGCTGTTGCCAAAGCCGCTGTGTCGTTTATCGCGCGCCATCTCTTATCATTTGTCAACGCCAAAACAAAGAAAAGCGAAAAAAGGGAAGAAGAAGACAGATCAATGTGAGAAAAATGGAGCGCTTGGCTCTAGCGCGCGCGTGCGAGCGCGCGATTCGAAAAACCACTCGAAACAGTCCGTCCGGTGCGCTTTTGCATTGCTGTGTCTCTTTATCCCGTGTGGGCAGACGTGGACGCCATATACCAGGTGCTGAAGCAGGCAGGCGAGATCCGTGGAAACTCGACAAACTCACCACCTACGCCTCCCACAGCAGAACACCCCCCCTCCGGTGCAGCACCTTCGTCAGCGAGGGCCTCCTCCCATCCCTGTTCCTCGTCCACCTCTGGTAAGGCGCACCACCAAGAATTCCTGCCGACCTTGGAACGTACGTCGGCACCCCGAAAATTTTCCCACGTACAGTGGCGGATTGCGTGCACGACATTCGCCCGGGGTCTCTCTCGTGGCGAGGAGAACGTCCCAGAATTTCGTTACCGGGACTCTATTCATCTTACACCGTGGTTAAACCGGGGAATTTTATCAATCTTTGTTACAAGTACACGAGATACTGTTCTCTTTCCCTCCCCGAGCTTCTTATTGCGTGATAATGAATAAGAGGCTCGGGGGGGCTGGAATTCTTAGCGGCGTATCTCGCGCTCCGAGCACTGTAATCCGTCACTGGCAAAAATTCGTACAATTCAATATGCAAAGCGCTGCGGTCCAATTTTGACTATCGATACGCTTGTAATGCCGAAACACGTCCAAGTTATTGGAGCACACATATCTCTCTGTCGACGTAGTACTGGAGCATTTCTCGAATGTGTATCTTACGTTGTCTAATCTAATTGTAAGTTCGTATCGGTATTTAATAATTAATTTCCCGTATGTAGCCCCGCGTGCACCTTTCCCTAATTTTTATTTTAACTCTGTAAACCGAATAGTCTTCCTTATGCCGTGAAAGAGAGACAAGTAACGTTTAAGTTATCATTTTTATTCTCCTCACTGTCGTAGTTACTCAGAAAAGAAGATAGGAATATAAACTCAATTCGATGAGAGTCGAAGAGGGAAATGATAGAAATCGTCAAATTCACGTCGTAGCTCCTACCTTTTGTCGAAGCGAAACGACACCACAAATTCACTACCTTCGCGACAATGCCCTCTCATATTCTTATCTTCTCGACTACTAGCTAAGTTGCTGTTACGCAAACGAATTTATGTATTATTTCTTTTCGAGCACGTGTATATGTGTGTGCGTGTTTAATGTCACCCGTGCTCCAGTACTGTCAGTTCCAAGGTCCGAAGTCATTCTGTGTGTTTATGTAAAGCCGCTCGTCTTCTTCAGGGACATGACTCGTAAAAATTCGTAATCTATCGATTCTTTAAATGTGTACACACTCCTTTCTTCTTCTTCTCCTTCTTCTAGCACCTGTATTTCTTTTTCTACTGCCGCTTCTCTCCCCCCACTATTCTGTATTCTGCTTGTCATTAGAATTAATTCGTATGGTTTTTAGAGGTAAAAGCGCCCGACATCATTGTATTGTTTAGCGCCCCGTTATTACGTTACATCGAGACGATTATCTACAGCGATACGGCGTTACGTTTATTATGTTTGTCACATCCAGGACGATAAATGCCATCTGCCCAATCGCACGTTCTACCTTCCATCTGTTTCGGTTACTATCGTTATTTTACGGTAACTTTTATTGTAGATTGTAGATATGCTAATATACTTGGCGATTTCTCACACGATTTTAACCAAATATTTCACGATCTTTAAGACATTACACGATCGCTAATGACCTCACGAATGAAATATGTGAACGACTGATCGGACGAGCAGATAATTCTGTTTTCATTTTTCTAACGACAAAACCGGGGTGCTCTACTATCCTCGCGTCTCAAACGTGATCGATATTGAAGGAGCTCTCGTCGAGTCGCAGGAATCACGACGATAAATCAAAGAGGATTTTGGCGCTTTTTTTTAGGGCTGACTTTGTCGTCGCGGGTGTCTCCTCGACGACGAGAGAAATATTTTATCGCTTCTCGCCCTCTTGACTTTTATCTCGCGCTTATCACGGCTTATCAAGCTCTCCCGTCCCAAATCACTCTTCATTAGCTTTCTGTCATATGTCCGACCGAATATCTACTATAATAATAATAATAACGGCTGATGATGATGACGACGGCCATTAGTAACCGTGATAATTAATTTAGAGACATTAATTGTAACAATCGCACAAGTAGACATTAATACATAATCACGGTATTAGTAGCCATAATAGCGATTAAGTTAGGCCATTATTATGTTTAGGACTCTTTTTCCATCGTTTGAGTATTGTGCTTCCGTCCCCCCCCCCCCCCTTTGTTCTTTTTCGTACGTAATCGCGCATCTCTCTACTACAACAGTAGACACTCGCGAGACGAAACTGTGATACCATATAGTACAGAACATTGCTACACGAGAACAAAATAAAGTAACCGCCATAACGGAGGATAACACGAGGAGCGACTAATGAGGCCAGAGCACCGCCGACTAACCCACCCCGAGGAACATCAGTAACATCGGGATTTCCAGCCTGCGCTAGCCTAACGCGAACTCATTAACGGCAACTTGTGCGAGTGTGACGATTTCCGATTTTGAAACCCTTTCGACGATCTCGAGACCGAGAGACCGACCGCCGGAGGAGATCGGGATGATCGCCGTTCGAGTGACCGTTGTTGAAATTTCTTGATTGACCAGGACGCGGCAGCGGCGGATCCACCTCCGGCACGCGGCCCTTCGGACAGCCCCTGGTGCTCATGTCGCAGGACTCGCCGCCCTCGACCTCGGCCTCGCTCAGGACACCCGAGATGGAAGTGCAGGCACAACGCGGCGCTAATAAGAAACGATGACGGTGCGTCGCGTCGCGTCGCGTTCACGAGCGCATCCCTCGGGCACGGTGGAGCCTTTCTCTGGAAAGATCCATCTCGAGGACAACGCGGCGTCGCCGGTCCCGTCGTTCTTCCTTCCGCTCGCGAATTATCGATTTTATTTATCCGTTTGTGCGACCCGTCCCGTCCTACTCCCTTTCTCGTCCCCGCTCCCCCGATTTTCTTCCCACCACTCCGTACGAGCGCGTATATTTGGTGGACATTCTTGGATAGCCGTCGGACATCTAGATATATCCTTCCCCCTTCCCCTGGCAACCCCCGGAATTTTAAATGTTCGTTAACTGCACGGAGAGAATTTTCTCTTAACATTCATTCTGAAAATCGTGGGACAACGCCGCATTTTCAAGAACTTTATAAGAGACTTGTGAGATTAGAGCTTAGGACGATTATTTTACTACACTGACAAAATTTTTTTTTGTTTTTACTGAAGTAAATATTTACTCTACTTAAATAAAAATATCAAATTGCAAGTAAATCTATGTATTATATTAAGTAGATTAATTTAAATCGTTGCATTTTCTACATTCAAATAAAGATTTCGTGAGACATAAAATACTATTTATTAAATGAAATAATTATTTTTCTTAAAGAAATCCAATTTTCTTTGCTGTGAAAATTACATTTTAGTAAACATTTTGTAGAATTAAAATGAAATTTTTTAAATTTAAAATTATCCACGCTTTGATATTTAATAAATACTTAAATTAAAGAACTGCATTGTTTAATTCGTTTATTATTTCTTAAATTTAAGTTAATAAGCTATTAGGAGCCACCTAATAAATAATTTTCTTGAGTAAAGTAATATTTTTTTGGGTTAAGATATTTTTCTTATCAGTGTAGTGAAATGTATAGTAAAATTTCAAAAAACTCTCATAAAATTCTCTGTCATTAATAGCAAAATTTCAAACAACTCATACAGTTGTTCAAAATGCCACGTTGTCGCACGATTGCGTGATTTTCAGGGTGAATTTTAAGGGGAGATTCTCTCCCCGTGCGTCGTTGTTCGTCACACGAGGGGACGGAATGCGCGAAGAGGACGAAAACGAGTATGGATACGATTACATTTGTCGTACAATTTTTTAAGCGTGTTTGGCTACTCGACAACTTTTCTATCCCGCAGCCAGTCAACGTGCTTGAAAAATTTGTCGTACCTACGGCAAATGTAATGCCAGGCCTGTTTCGTGTTACGTCTGCGGTTATGTAATAGCGCGTATGTTATGCAATAATATTTTTACCCTTTGGATCCATATCCTTCATCTCTTTTGAATTGTTCCCTTCAGGCTTCAACGTCGCTTAACTTTAATACATCATTTGTCTCTTTCTGAGGCAACAGTTGGAAAGAGACAAAGGATAAATTAAACCAAGCTTCAAGTTAAGCGACACCGTTGAAACCGGGCGTTCGAAAGAGACAATGGATATTAAAAGTTACCCGCGCGACGGTTGGGGCAATCGACCCTGAAACGTTAAAAGATCTGGATGATCGCGGAGTGTCTGAGAGGGTCTATCCAATATTTCGTCTACCAAAACGTCCGCGTTGCACGGAACAATGTCGTCTCTACCCGTTGATTCTACCATAAACTCGGCTACGGTTTCGTGACGCTCGAGGAGACACGTATCTCGCGCTCGTTGATTAATAGCCGCTAATGGAACGGCCACGGAGACGGCGAATGTCGGACAGATGCGCAAACGTGGGTGTCGATTCCCCGCCGAGTGTATCGATCCGGTTTGTGCGCAAGGCCGGCTATATATTATATCAGCGACGATCGAAAAGCAGGCTCCTCACGCGATCGAGCGCATCGCGAATAATGCATGCGATCGTCGGAAATTTATTTCCCCCGTGATAATTAGCTGGCTGCACGAAGAGGAGGAAGCGCACGACGGGAAGGACGTTCCAGATTACGCCGCAGAAAGTGCCGCAGGACCCACGCATTGGGCAGACGAGAGGAGCGCAAACACGTGCTTTTAATTTAAACCCCGGCTCGTCCGACGTCACGGAGTGTCTTCGTCTATTTATTTATCGTTAACCCGTGCTGACACCGCAACCATCGTTTTGCAACGAGTGCCTAGGATTGTTTGACGATCGGACAACGGTAGGAAGAAAAAGCGTCGTTTCGAACCGAAGAGTAAATCGAATGGAAGCTCCACTGATTCCTTCGAAATGCCAACGATTTCGAAAAGAATACACGTGCACGCTGTAGCAGAGGACGAGAGAGAATTTATCCGCGGAAGGATATTCGGATTTTAAAATTCGAACAAGTGAGGAATTCTTCGAGAATTCTGTGCCCGTCACACGAGAGTCTTGTAAACTTTATTAATTTTTCAAATTTAAATTTCAAGTCGCAAAAATTATGAAATTATATTATATTTTCTATTATTAATTTTTGTGGATTGGCAATTTGTCATTTTCCGAATCGATTTAGTTAAGACTCGTTTCGTGAACCTTTGGTTCTCGTTATTTTTAACGTGATTTAAAAATTCGACTTGGAGAAAAAAATTTTATTGCAGGAGAAAGAAAATGTTGCTCTCGACGGAAAAGTCTTTTTCAGAGATACGTTTCGACGCTCGCAGACGTTGACTTTAACAAATATCAAATCGCAAAAGCGGATTTATCGCTCGAGCGTACGGAAAAGCAATCGCAGTTCGCGGCTCGTTACGTACGTATGTAAATACCACCTGCGGAAGACAATTTGCGCTTTGCTGTCGATTTAAATGTCGACGTAACGCGGCCGCTATCGCTTTTCACGCTGATAGCGAACGAGGCTATTTTATCGGTTCTGTGTGCGGGGCTCTCTTTATTATCGCGGACGGGATTTGTCCCGCGTTGATTTCAATTCGCAATACGTGGCCGTTAGGTCGCCCGTTTTCTCCGTCGTTTATTTGTTTTCGGAGAGCGCGCACGGGTGTTTAAAAGTGATGATAATCTCAGGACGGGTGAACGGCATGGAAAATGCCGCGTTATAACGTTTTAAAAGCGCGCTTTTATCGGCGGCGGAGCGATGGAGGTAAATATTTAACGGTAAGCTCGGAGAAAGAGAGCGAGAGAGAGAGAAGAGAGACGTCGAAACGCCTTTATGCCTTAAGGGGATCCTAAGTCATCTGTTTTACCGACACATTCGAATATAGTTTTTGCGCTGGTAAATCTTTTTCTTAGCTTTTATGCACAAAATAATGCCAGGATAAGTTGCGAACCGCATAGCAGAACATTTTTCATACATATTGGTATTTAAAGTTTTCAATTTTTTTAATCGCGAATAATTTGAAATTGGCTTTATAAAATTACCTAATTCTTACACACGATTATAGCGCGCATAAAAACAGCGCTCATTTTTATCGCTGCGGCAGACTCGTCGGTCGAATCTTCGTGCACCCGAGTGTTGCAGTGTTCCTTATTACAATTTATCGCCGTGCGCAACACCTGTATCGTCGAAATGCGCGATTAGGAGAAGAAGAAGAATTGATCCCCCATATTGTATACTGTCGTTTAGAATAATAGGACGGGCTTGTTTTGCCGAGAAATATTATCTTACGCGCGCGCAACCGAGACTATATTATCTGCGAATTTTTCCCCGACGAGAGCACACTGTAAATATTGTAAATAAAAAGTCTTTATTTTCCGCACTTTCGGTACTTTCCATATTTCGCCCGCGAGTCGTGTCCCGTTTTATAATTGTGCTGCTTGTGAGCTTTTTTTATTTCAGTGTTGAAAATTTACGAATTTACGTTAAGCGATTAGTGCATTCGTAAAGAATCGGCTGTCCTGCTTGTACGTGCAGCCGGTAATTTCCATATTCGACGCTGACGATCGATTATTTCCTTCGAGACAGATGCGTCTCACTTGCGATTTGCCGAATCTCACTCGCGAAAATGGGATTATCAATCGCTCGACTAATTGCAGAGAACTGGTTAATTCCGTAACTTTTTTTACATTAAAAAGTTTTTCAATTACAAATTCTAGAGAAATTCTATAAAAAGAAATTAAAACCAACGTCTGACAATCAATTTTACAATTAAATCCACGATAGGCGGTTTAATTATTTAAAACGTGACTGATGCATCTACGAAAAAAAGATACCGCCACTAACGTTCCGTCAACAAACTCGCGCCTTATTAAACGGACTTGATCTTCGTTCCGCAAGAAGGCAGTCGTCGATTTAGACCCTTTCAGAGAATTCTCTCGCGATCGTGCCCAATTTTCGACGTCAGCGTGGAAAATGCGACTTCCCAATTGTGGCTAACACGTATCTAACCGATAATTATGAAAAACAAAAACCAAGCACCGCACAGTCCGCAACGTAGACGCGAGAGGCTGAACCTGCGGATGAAGAGTCTGAGTCTGGACTCGCCGGAAGGAAGCGCCCACGTGCGGCATCGTCCGCGGGATTATTACGCCGCGGGTCCACGGGAAACCACGCCGCCCCGACATTCTGACAGCGGCAGTATCAACAGGCTGTGTGAGTAACCGCAATAATAATAATAATAACGTAACGCATGACGTTACAGTTAATGCGCGGCGAAACGGTCGATCTCGCGAAAGAGCCCCCTGGTCTGCTCGAAAGCCCGCTCGGTCCAACCGTAACGTTTCCTCCTTGAGAATGTAGTGTCGTAAAAAAATTAAAAAAAAAGAAGAGGATTCTGCGCGTGAAAAAACGAGTGGATTTTTCCGCCGCTCTGTTATCGCTCGGGAAATTTGTATTTTAATTCTCGGATTAAAATTCTCGAGTTACGAGGCGATATTAATAAAATGCAAAATGCTAAAGAGGAATTTACATTTTATTTTGTAATTTGCAAGTCGATACACGTAACGGCGCAGTTCGCGATACAAATCTGATGCACGTAGAGAGGCGTCGAAAACAAAATAGGAAAATTTCAGTACGTACAATTCGAGTGAGCGCAGAATGGAAGCTCCGAGCTTAATAATTTATCGCGGTGGAATGGTAGGCGGTAAAAAGAAAAGCGCGATACCTTGCGAACGTTCTTCGACGAACGCCGGTGACGCTGCTTCGCGCCTTGCCCTTCTTTTCCCCGTCGCCACCGCGATAAATTATTAAGCGCGGAAAATTAAGCAGACACCCAGGAAACTTGCGTACTGTACACGAGCGGGCTTTCGATTCCGCGCGATCTCGTCGCTTGAAACAAATAAGTTGCGTTTTATCGAGACAAACTTCATTGCTCGCTTCGAGAGAAAATGACAGTGAAACTGATCTGAGACACGGGCAGACCTCGTTTCTCTGCCTGAGAGCGCGAAACGACCACTTCGCGTCTGGCAACCTAATTAGCTCGCCAAACGACGTACAGTCTTATTCATTAAAGCCTGAACCTCAGTTTTACTGGGATTCACATTTTCACAATCTTTATTCCCCTCTATGAGTTTCAAGCTGTAGTTGACGCAGCTGCTATGTCTGTGGTACGAGGAGAGAATTTTCTCTTAAAATTTACCCTGAAAATCATGTAAGCGTGGGACAACGTGGCATTTTGAACAACTTTGTGAGTTTTGAAATTTTACCATACATTCTATCAATAAAATGTATACTAAGTAAAATTACTAGTAAAATGTGTGGTGGAATTTCAAAAAGCTCTCATAAAGTTGTTCAAAATGTGCCACGATTACACGATTTCGATGTAAAAAACAATCCCTGCCGTGTGGTGCATACATACAGCCGACGGGGAAACCGCTGAGCAAAATCTTGTACACCAATGCCCACTAATGCCCAGTGAGCATTACTTAATCTTATTCTCTTATTTCATCTTATTTATCTTTTTTTATCGTATTTTATCTTTATAATGCCCAAAAATGCCCCAAAAATATCTAGTAATGCCTAGTAATGCCCAGCAATGCCCTCAGCCTGTTTCCCCCTCGCATACAGCCTGAAACTCCGTGATTTGTACAGTTGAGTAAAATGATGATAAAAATACTGGTCCAGGCATCAACGAATAAAACGGTACAAGCCGCGGGCGCGCCAACTGTTTTGATTTTCAGCGCCCTGCAGCCCGGGTCAGAGCCACGGCATGCACAAACACGTGCGCAGCGCTATCCGGATGTCCAGCATGGAGCTGCCGGACGACAACGAGAAGTCGTACTCGTCGGCGAGCACGTCGCCGTGCCCGTCGCCGCACACCAACAATCAGAATCACCTGAACCCACCCGGCAAGCGCGTCCTGCCGCCGAACAACCTCTACGTCGTTCTGTACAACTTCGAGGCGCGGCACCCGGACGAGCTGGATCTCAAGTAAGAGCTTGGTTCGCTCGCGCGTATTCACCGTAAAGAAAAATCACCGGCGACGTTTCTCCCGTCTCGCTTTTCATCGCAATAATTTAATAATGATCGATCGCTAGCACCAAGGGCGTACCAAAACCACCGGAAATCCTTTTAATAACAAATTCTTTAGAAAATTTCAAGACGAAAATTCTAATACAAAAATGTCGAGGCTATAGTAGTTTTTAAATAACAAGCGATTATATGTCACAAATAATGGACCTGAGATTTCGCGCGCTCAGGCACGGCGACGTGACAGGTGATAAAAGTGTTTTAGCCCTTTTTAGCACAGTAACAACCTTCATGGTAACTGATACTGATCGATTACTTGGACAGCCGCGACACTTAGAAATTCCAACACGTTGCAAATTTCTACTTGAATTAAATAAGAAGGGCGACATTCATAGCAACACTTTTATCACTCGTCACGTCGCCTGAGCGCGCGAAATCTCAGGCCTATCATCGGCGAAATGTGCTCGCTTATCATTTAAAAACTATTATAGCCTCGACATGTATATCTCAAGGGAGTCTCAAGTGGGAAATTTCTTCACCTTTACCCTTTCTTCTAATTTTAATGCACGCATACTCGAATATTATATAATTATAACTTTTAACTATACATATATTATAATTATTCCAATTATAACTCTATTATTCGTATCACGTTTGTTCAAATTATTTGGAGCGTCTAGTTTATTTTGGGGATAATTCGCGCAAGATTTTTACGTGAAAAATCTGACTCGGGAGTAATTATTTTCCTCGCAATTGTAGTTTCCCGGTGTACTTTTCGCGTTCTCTCGCGAACGTTCGTAATTACGTACTAAAGTTATCCAGTGATAAAAATTTAAATAACATAGAATCGACTTACCGGCCGCCAAGTCACCTCCGCTGCTCTCGCCGCTCCGAAGTTGATTCCTTGATCCCAAATTGTATAACAACGCGCACTGATTCATCACTGGCTCATTATTTCGAGCGACACTGCTGATTTACTCGCGCACTTTTACTATTCACTCATTAAGAGTCATTTCGATGCACTCGCGAGATTAATTAATAACGCGATTGCGCGATGTCAAGCCACGCCGATCGATTGGATCGTCGCGATTGTCGTCCGTTTTTTCATCACTTTCTACGACACTCGCACAGTATTTAAACGACAATACGATTAAACGATCGATTTATTCGGCACACTTTCGTTTCTTTCACCCGGAATCAAATCGGACTCTGAAAAATCCGCTGTTGACGGTAAATAATACGGCGGTGATGCTTTTCTTCGACGATACCGGTCGATATTAAGTTGCTCGTTTCCATGCGCGATGTTCCTCTCCCAGATTTTATCGCATTTGACTGAAGCGACGATACGATTAAATGATGGGCGATTTATTCGACGGTTTCATTTTTTTCTCGCGGAATCAAATCAGGCTTGGAAAAATCGTGAAAAATCCGCGGCTGTAAATAAGGCGGCGATGCCTTCTTCGATGATATCGTTCGATATTTATATTGCTCTTTTCTATGCGCGATATTTCCCCCCCCCCCCCCGGATTTCAATTTAAACTCGTATATTTGATACGACGGGAAACTGTCGAACGGATCCTACAGCCGTAGCGATAACAGCAATCTCGCTAGCCAATTATAATTACACTGTTATATGTTTCTGTCTAAAAAAGAATACGTCGGAGACATTCTGTCGATTAATTCGCGCGGATAATTTCGTCAACGTAGCAATTGCGATCAACTAATTGTACAAGAGATTAACCGCAGCCTCTAATCTATAATTACGAGTCGATCGCGGCTAAAGTCGAAATTGATCGCCGTAAATCGCTGCACACATAAATGCAACATATTTACCGAAGACTGCACATTTTAATTAGCTCGTCAATTAATTTTAGAAAAATGCAACAATTACGACATTAATTACGAGATCTCTGTACAGTATTTGCGGACAGTGATCGCGGCTAAAGTCAAAATTAATCCCCGTGAATTACTGCGCGTGTAAATCCAACATATTTATTCCAATATTGCACATTTGTCTAAGTGCGTACTAATTAACTCTCTCGCGCGCGTAATTAAGTTTAGAAAAGTGCAACAATTACAACGTTAATTGCAAGACTAATAAAAGTTGTTGAATGTCGCCAGCGATATTTAATAACGTCAGTTCTCTTGACCATACCTAGAATTTTTAATATTACAGTTATACAGTATTTAATAATACAGTTTAACAATGCAATTAATAATTTTTAATAATGCAGAGAATTTATTGCGAAAAATGTATTATTAAAAATGCCAGGTATGGTCGAGAAAACAATGACGTTGTTTAACTGCAAAACTTGTACACGTTTGCGGACAATGGTCGCGGCTAAAGTGACGAATTATCGCGATCAATCTTTTACTAGCATGTATAAATACCGTGTTACCTAATTACGATAAGCTACCAACTATATAAGATAGTAACTACGGGTTGCCATAATTATTAATGGTGATTGTGGCTCAAGTAAAAATTGATCGCGATCGCCGTAAAATGCACCGCATGCATGAATACCGCACGGAGGGAGTTTTCTTTTAAAATTTATCCTGAAAATTATGTAATCGTGGGACGACGCAGTATTTCAAAGAATTTTATGAGTTTCTTACAATTTCATCGTACACTTGACTAATAATTATACTTGGTTATGCATTTTACTAGTAAAATGTACGGTAAAATTTCAAAAACCTCTCATAACGGGGAGGAAAGTTTCTCTTAAAATTTATCCTGAAAATTATGCGATCGTGGAACATGGCGTTTTGAACAACTCTATGAGAGTCCTTAGAAATTTTACCATACATTTTACTAGTAAAAATATTAGTGGAATGTACGGTAAAGTTTCGAAAAAATCTCATAAAGTGGTTCAAAATGTCCCACGATAACGTGATTTTCAGACTGAATTTTAAGTTGTGAGAGTTGTTTGAAATTTTACCATGTATTTTACTAGTAAATACCATGCATACCGAATATAATTATTAGTGAAATGTATGGTGAAATTTCGAAAAAGTCTCATAAAGTTGTTGAAAATGCCATGGTATGCATTTTACTAGTAATTATTTTACTAGTATAATATACCACGCGTGTGGCAATTGATAATAATCAGAATGGCTTCTTCTTTTTACTCTTTCGGCCGCGAGTGCAGGTATTCTAGAGTGTTTTTTAAGTAACGTCGCGATCGTCAGGTTTAAAAAATTACGCGCTCTCCAGAAACGTGTGCACGGTGGACATTTAGCCTTAAAGTTTAACAGAAGCCATTCTGAACGATCGTAAAATCAATACTGCGGGGCGAAGGTGAAAAAATGATGGCCGCGCGAGTTTACGATGGAATGTAAACGCGATAAAGCCATCGGTAATAGCACCGCAAATACAAATATCGGGAATAACTGCGTGTACAAATACCGCTAAACACCGTTTAATTGCTACAAACTTAAATATTGGATATTTCGATTAACGCGGGCGCCGCGTCATAAATTTATCGCGCGCGTAGTCGTAATTAACGGCTCTCGCGGTCGTAATTGGAGCTCGATGTGTAAAAACGATCTACATTACCGACGTACGCCGCGTAATGCGAGCGCGCGAAATCCCGCTCAACGGAACCGTCATGGCGGCGCGAGACACCAAATGCGACAACTTGTACGCGGATTTCGCTCGACGAAACCGCCGGCGTCGACGCGGCGGTTTCGCCGCGAGGGTCGCGTTCAACGGCGAATTCTTCACCAGACGCGCGAACCTCGCGCCCGAATACTCCACGCTGCTGCGAGAATCTCGCGAGCTCGTCAAAGCGCGTCGCGGTAAGTGCCGAAACGCGCCGCCGCCATCGGCGAAAAGTTGGAACGGCGACTCCAGGCGAGTTCCAACCGCATTTACTTCCGCCGCGAGATCGATCCTGCTCTTCCCCTACGCTCACCTCCTCGTATCTTGTTCTCGCGTGTCGTGTCACGTCGTGTCGTGTCGTGTCGGTGCTCCGGATACACTCGCGATGCTCGAGCGAACGCAACGGGCGCGATCGACGAACAGCGAAAGGGACGGCGCGCCGGGCGTGTGCGATCTTGGGCGCGCATCGCTCGCCAAACTCACCTCGGTGCGAGTCGGTACGACCAGCTCCTTGCTCCGTCCGGAGGCTCCGGTGTCGACGCACGCGAGCGGACCGCGCGAGGGAAGCGCGACGCACCGACGATCCGATCGGCGGAACGCGAGCAGCGTAATGGCGTAACTGCCGAATTTTCTTACCCCCACTCCCGCCGGCGAGCCGGCGGGCGAGCGCGTTTCCAGGAATTCGGGATGACGCACGGCAAAAACATCGGCGCGGCGGTTGTTTACATTCCGACGGTTACTTACCGTAGCGTAGCAATTGTTCTTTGCGGGTAGCGCGTCGCGGAGAGGACGAGTCAGTTTGAAGCGGGAACGCGACGAGGAATGACGGCTTCTTCCACGCCAGACGCGACGAACTGTGGGGCGGTAAGCGATAGCCAATGACGGCCCGGAGTACAGCCATAGTCGCGATCGTAAGAGTTGTCGGCTGTGATTGGTTTAATTCTTATGTGTCCGACGGAATTGACCAATTACGGTCGATTGTTCTTACGACTGCGACTCCGCGACTCGCACTGCAGACCACGCAGAAGACGTAAAATCGAAAAGGGGGGACGTGCGTCGCTTCCATCGAAATCGACTTAACAATGGACCCCCGCTCCGCATCTGTTTAGAAAATTCTCTTTAAATGTAAACTCGCTTCAAAACGCTCGCTCTTACAGCGCGTGAGACCTGTTGAAAAATTCATATAAAAGAGTTTTCTGATTTGCTCAAATATGTATACGATTTCGACGCGTATAACCTGTCGGTTCCGACTTGAGTTTTGTGTTACGCGCAGCGGAACGAGATGCGAAGAACGGCCAAGTAATAACACCGAGGGCAGGTAACGCACGTACGTTCGTACAAAAGTCATGCTTCCCCGCTTGAAACCAAAAGCGTTATCACTTGAGGACTAATCTCTGCGCCGATCTGCAGCCGAGATAATTATTCGATACGCGTTCACTCTCTTTACATTGATATACACTCGTGATTGCAGGGCCGGTTACAAGATCACGGTGATCGACAAATCGGAGAAGGATTGGTGGAAGGGCAAGTGTCTCGGCGGCCGTGCCGGCTATTTTCCAAGTGCGTACGTGATGCGGGTCGAGTCCGGTCAGAGGACACTCCAGGTCACGCGGAACCTGCAGCTCGCTGATCAAACACTTCTACGAGACCAGGTATTTATGTCTTTTACACACGACGCTGGAAGTTGCCTGAAACGGTCCCGCAAAGTGCCCTCGGTGTTCCTAATTCATTGTGCCACTAGGGGTATTTAGATACAAATTGTATTTAGATGGAGAGATTATTGGATCGCCGATGTATCAACTTCGCACTTTCACTCGCGTCGATATTTGCTAAAATTTTCAACTTAAAAGAGCGACAAGAATAATCGCTTTAGTTTAATGAAGATCGCTTTAACATTATTGTTTGCACTGCGTCTATCATTTATATTAATGATTTTTGATCAGCGAGCCGTAAACTTTGCTACACGTAAAAAAACTACTCCTTTATTTAATCTTGGACGTTAAATGTCTCGACAATTAAGCCTAAAAGTTGCACAGAAATTCACACGTTTCTACTTCGAACCTCTTGAATTTACCTCTTGAATCACCAGAAACATATCAGTAATGGTAGTAAAAAGCATATCGTTTTAAGTGACAAGAAATCCGTTGAGTCTACATTTGTAGGAAATTCCGTCCTTGGTGACTTTTCTTTTCATTTTCAAAGTCCCGACATACCTACATAATTACTCAACCCTTTTTCACATCATTTAAGTATAGCCGGCAAGTCGGCGCGCAGTTTAAAGTTTTCGAGTCGAAAAACAGACTCGAAGATATCATCATTATACTGTTATTGCGACAAATATTACCACGCGCTTCTCAGTGATCGAATTGGTGAGACTCTAGAGAGTGGTCCAGGTTCAAACTCTGGCTGAGGTAATGTTTTTCGCAATAAATTTTCTGCACCAAAACACTGGCCGGTTAATGTCGACCAAGAAGCTTGATTATTGAAGTATATTGTCGTTGCCGAATCCTTAACGTAATCCACGACCCTCCGAAAATTGAATCCTCCCGTTTGGGGAACGCACGCAGATCGTGATCCAGGTCGGCGAAGAGGTGGACGGGGTGGCGATGGTGAGGTGCGCGGCGGACGTGCGTTCCGCCGATCACACGGGCAAGGAGGGCGACGTCCTCTACAAGGAGATCCTCTGTCCCCTCAAGTACCTGCAGGAGGTGTGACAGCAGCCTTATCATCACCAGGCCGGGCGCGGCGGCAGCAACGAGCGTCGCCGCTGCGCCGATATGCGCGATCGTTTCTCGGCGCGTCGGCACGTCGCCGAGAAATACTACGATTGTCTGCAGTGCGCCGAGCAGTGTCGTCACGTGGACAACGGCAACCCCAGCGGCGGCGGGAACAACAACAACAACTACAGTAACAACAACAACGGCAAGAGCGACGGCGGAGCCGTCGGTTATCGCGGCAGTTATCGTCTGCCCGCTACGAGCGCGGAATTGTATCTCGACGAGGAGGCGGCGACGTCGCCCGACGAGCTCAGGAGAATACGGAGCGCGAGGAGCAAGTCCCTGTCGAGGCATCAGCCCGCGGGGCACCTGACGCCGGCCAAGAAGAGGTCCTCGCTGGCACGGCCGGTCCGCGTCCACGACTCCTTCGTGCAACCCAGGCGGCCGATGGCCCAGGAGGACGGCTATCAGGAGCCGCAGCGCGAGCAGCAGGCGAGCTCGTGCAAGAACCCGTGGTGGTGGGAGCGCCGGGATCATCAGGAGCCTAACACGTCGAGCTACGGCTATCAACGGGACGCCGAGGACGGTAGCGCCGGTTGGCCTATTCGCCTGCGGCTCGAGCAGATGCTGGAGCTGACGCTGCCGCAGACCAAGCGCAAGAAGAAGAAGAAGAAGAAGAAGAAGACGGCGACCGCGACGGCGACGATGATGCTGATGAAGCAGCAGCAGCGCGGCAGGCATGGCTTCAAGGATACCGAGAGGCTCCTCAAGGTACTCAGCATTAACAATGTGGACCAAGATAATAGGTACAACGTCAAACGATGTTCCGTCATGTAGAGATTAGCGTAAGGGAGAAAGAGAGAGAGGGCAGGAGAAGAGAGAAAAGAGAAGCGTGTAACAGACTTCTTAAGGAAACACCGTAGGACTCTGATACGCTCGTATCTGGAATCCTGCTTTCGGGCGTTACTCGCGGCCGAGTGGAGCCGCGAAGATCGAAGCTTCGAGTCTGCTTTCGTACTTGATTGTTTTCGGCTTTATACACTTTGTTCTAAACTCTCTGTTTCAGTTAGAACGCGGGGAGAGACGAGTCGCGGCGCGACGGAAAGTCTCCCGCGCGTGCATTTATCTTCGTCTCTCGATCGGTTACGAAAATTATCCCGGGGTTTTACTTTCCATCCGTCGTCGTTTAGATCGTGCCTCGGTCACGGTACGTCACTTTCATTACGACACCAGTGCTAGATGCTGATCGAGAGAGGGATCCGGAAATGCGGATTCCTTTTTCGTTCCCGTACTTTTCCGACAATTTGCAATTCGTTTCAGTCGTGCCGTTTTCAGTGCCATTAAGCACGAGTGTTAATTGATAACGGTGGAAATTGTCGCTATATAACGGTCGTACCGAAGCGACATTTTTCGATAACCATCGCGGCCTCGATAACGCGCAAAGCACTTTAGAGACAGAGCCGTTTCCACTTTGTTCTTCCCGGTCCTTTCCTGAGTTTAGAGATAGAGATTATCTCCCCCCCCCCCCCCCCTAGCTGCGTATCCGATCCGCTGCTCCGGCATCTCGGAGCCCAATACACCCCTTTATTGCTTTGATCGGACATTTTTACTTTTATAGAACGAAGTGGTCAGTGTCGCGACCCCCCCCCCCCCACCCGAAAAAAGCTTAGCAACGAGCCTTGTCCATTAATAGCGTGTTGTAGTGCGAGAAATATCGCGTCGTCGCTTGATTTAAAGGTCGAGATCCACTTTGACTCCGCGGCGAGCGTACAGTCGCGCGGAGTTAATTAATCGTACCTGCATCCGCGCTAAAGCGAACCAAAGATTAGCGAGGAAGGAGAGAAAGTAAAAAAAAAACCAACCAATTTCATTCCACTAAACTGCCTGGGATCATCGCGGACGCTACATCGCGAGCTCCTCCCAAGTTTCGCGCGACAACACCACTCCGAATTATTTTTTATATCGAGGAAGAAACACCGGCGGGCGTACATACAATCTCGCGCCGGGCGCGAGAATTATTCACGGCGGCTCGCGACCGGAGGAGCGAGAGCGGATGAAAGAGGTGGATACATCGCATCGACAATGTGGAAAATAGTGGCTTCGAGAAAATGAAACTCCAGAATTTATGCCGCCGCTCCCAGCTGTGCACGCGCTTCGGTTTTAATAGGCCTGTGCCCACGACGCTAGAACTTGGTCCAAGTTCTAGTTCCGAGAAGTGTATGGCCATTCAACTTGCAGCTATTCCATAAAAGCTGCAAGTAGATTGGCTTGACAAGGCGGTTATAAAGAGATCCTTAATTATAAAGGCCTGTGTCCACGATGGTAGAACTTGGTCCAAGTTCTAGTTTCGAGAAATGTGTATTCCATAAAAGCTGCAAGTCGATTGACCACACATTTCTCGGAACTGGAACGTGGACCAAGTTCTAGCATCGTGAACAGTACGATACTTGTGTTTTCTCTTTAAAGCTGGCGTTCGCTAATTATTAATACTGCAACTTGATGGCGAGCCGTTCGCTTTGCCGTTAACTTCAGCCGCTCATCGCGTTATTAGATTAACGACGACCAAAAAACAAGGATTAACTGACTAATTCTACGAATAAAAGTTGATACGTATTTGCGAGAACAAGGGGATTCTTCGCAATATACCTCGTTCGTTCGCTCAGCTCCTCGAGCTGTCTCGTCGACAGCGATCGTCCAGAGAAGAGAGCAGCAAGTACCTACGAACAATGTACACGCGTAATCCAAGTGCCATACTGCGTCGCGACAGCATTAAAAAGCCTATAAAACCCTAAGCATTTGAATGAACGTTCCAGTATTAAGTGCGTAACAAACATGGTGTGCGATTCGACGTAACAATTGGTGACGCGATGATTCGAGATACGCACTCCCCCTCCTCGTGTCGTAGGCAGCCCACGTGCATATAAATAAATAGACAAAGCGACCCTTCCCCTGTCCGCGAGCGAACGTCACGAGGGAGAAGAGTCGGTTCGCGCGAGATCAAAATCGTCTGATTAACAGCGACAAAAAGTGGGCGCAAATCCCGGTCGGGACTTAGAAACTCGCGATCGTCAAGGCGGCAAGTTGCTTTCAAACGCATCTTAGCGAGCGGTCGCGAGGGAACAAGGTCGGGCCTCTCGCGTTTTATTAAGGAGCGCTTGCGAGGACACCGGTCGGTTTTGACACGCTTGCGAGTCGAGGCGAGGTGATCGTAGACCTAGGGACAACCAAGCGGGATTAGGCGAGTGTACGTTTCGTTACGTGTTAAATATTACAATGCATTGGCACGAGTGTCCTTCCTTCGTTAATTCTATCAACAGCGTAGCGTAGAGACGTAAAGCTATTGCGAGGCTACCGCTCCCAGTATTTTGTAAAATCCCCCCCCCCCTCCTCCTCCCTAAAAAGATACGTCTTACAAGTTTATGATACGGGATTACGATCCACCACACGGCGTTCACAGCACGATCGAGATCGCGGGCCGCAATTAATCGCGATAGCTGATCGGATTTGCCGGCGACTCACTGTGTGCGTGTCTTTCCTTTACGTTTTGGATTCACCGTGCCGAGATAGGAGAGGAGGCCTGAACTCGAACCGTCGTGCAATGGCTGCGGATTATTCACTGTATCCGGTTTGATCCTCGATGTTGGATATGTTAACGAGTCTATAGTTACAGGAGAACCTTTGTTATACACCCGTGCAACTGTATCGTTTGGCCGAAAAAATAGACTGCACGAAAAAATATATTATCTATATAAAAAAATATATATATATATATCGTACATGTATGGCTTTCTTGCAGGGATCTACCAGTTTCTCTCGTTTTTCTATCCTTTGTCCTTTTTCAGGATCGGCGTCTCCGTCGCTTTTTCCACGAGAACCTAAGTTGAAAGAAACTAACGGCAACTTATCCCAGTGAAACCGCATATCTTCCATTCTCGAGGTCAGGTGACAAAATTGCTCTCACTTTAACACGCAGGTAACAACTTTGCAGATTGAAATTTCTTATAAAATCATGCATTTATTCTTTGCGGAACGAGCCTCTCGGAAAATAATGCGGGATTAAAATGAAACTACTTGAATAATAAAGCAGCGATACTTATTTTTTTTTATTATCCTCGCGTACAATACATACGAAGCGCCAGCATTACGATCCTCATTAAAATTCTCTCGTTAAAAACTCTCGTTAAAAGTCTCGATAGCTCGCTCGCTCGGGCAATACATATAAATACGACCACCGTGCTGGAGTCGCGGCCAGTCGATCCAAAATATTTTTTCCGAGCCTCCCACGGCCGGATGTTGACGTACAGATTTCCAGGACATCGGTTCCGAGTAGGTGCGAGTCTCCGCTCGACTTTACAGCTTGTATTTAGCCCCCCTGATGATAGGAAACTTGTCGCCGGTGCAGATGCCCCGGAAATCGTCGAGCGACAGATCCACGATCGCCACGCCGCCGAGACCCCTAGTCTTGACGAACCCAGCCTTGATGCCGGCGGTGTCCGGGTCCTCGTAGCCCGTCCAGATCCCCTCGGCTCCAGTTTCGCCGTTGTAAGGCGCATAAGCGTAGCTGCCGTACTTCTTGGACGGGTCTCCGACTCGTCGCAGTCGTCCCGCCGCGTGCTCGGTCAGCTTGGCGCACATCTCGGTGTAGGACAGCAGCCCCGGCTCGTTGGTGTTGGGCCCGGGGGCGCCCGGACCGTCGGTCACGATGGGCGGCACGCCGGAGATCTGGCTGTCGGCCGTCAACTTCCACGTGCGAGCGTACGTGGGGACGCCGACCACGATCTTGCTGCCGGGAGTCCCGTGCTCCAGCCAGTACCTGCGGGGGGTTGCTCTTGTTACTTGGACGTTACTCTCGTCGAGTTTGTATAAGCGGTGCGTTGCGCAAAAAGCCCCCGCTTTCGACGGGCGTGGGAGCGTACCGAGGCAGCCAGTTTAAAACGAAACATTTGCACAAACATGGATATAATCGCTTAGCCAACTAATCAGAATTCTTCAATGTCGCTAGCGGTAGTAGTTAACAACGTCAGTGCTTTCTTCACCGTACCTGACATCTTCGATAATACAGAAAATTTAAATATTACCTCAGCCAGAGTTTGAACCTGGACCTCCCTACACTCTAGGCGTAGATAACATTTGTGTACTGTTATTGCGACAAATATTATCATACGCCTCGGCGGTGGAATTGGTGAGACGCCCTAGAGTGTACGAACAGGTCCAGGTTCAAACCCTGGCTGAGGTAATATTTTTCGCAATAAATTTTCTCTATTATCAGAGATGCCAGGTAAGGTCATGATAACACTGACGTTGATAATCGTTTAGCTTCTATATTGTTAAGACTTGCTGAATATTTATGAATGTTAATGAACGGACAAATATTATAAGCGATAATCGACCCGATAAAAGGAACCAAGTTTGCATCGTAATTTGTACTTAACAAATAATGAATTAAGCGTAGAAGAAAGTGGAATTTAAACACGAAAATGCAACGTGGAAGCTGCCGGGAAGAAAGTTCATTACGTTTACCTTGACGCAGCATCAATATTGTCATCGCCCTCGTGTCCGTAACTGCCATAAATTGATTATGTTATGTACGTTAAACTACTTTTCGCGACGATACGGAAAAGTAATGGGATGCAGAAGGGAGCGGACTCACCTCGTTTGAACGTCGAGATTATCCTCCGCGACGCGTCCGTAACTGGCGTAAATTGGCGCTGGGAAGTCGGCTTCCTTCGCGTTGCGTTCCGGTGTTCTTTGATCGAAAGCGAAGAGATGCACCGCTTCGATGTTGGGCGCCAACAATCTGGCGTCGTAGTAAACTGTCGAAAAAGAAAAAAACGTTCAGTTTATATCGAAAACATACAATTTATCGTATCTGAATTAAAGCCACGACAGTAACATCGCGATTATAGTTAACTGTTAAATACATCTTTCGTCCGCGTAAAGTACCAACCGCTAGAGTTAACGTGAGGCAACACCGTGACAGTCAGAGCCTTGGACCTCGGCCTGAGCTGCGACTTGAGGTCGCGGACCAAGATCGTGAAGCCGTCGCGATGTTCCTGCTCCTTCTCGTCCTTGAATTTCCCGTAGCCGAGTTTCTTCTTGAGGCCGTGCCAGAAGGATCCGAGGGTGCTGCGCTGTTTCTTAGGCCTGACCGGCGGGAACTGCCATGCCAGATCGATTCCGTCAAAGTCGTAGTCGTTCAGCAGCCGGTTGACGGAATTGATGAACTTGGTTCTGCCTTCCGAGGTCTCGGTCTGTCCAAGAAATTTGCATCATTCCGCTTAATTCTTCATTTAGCCGATTGCGGCAAGCGGTATCTCATCTTTCCGAGTCTTTATCGCTTTGATGAGATGTAAGTATAGTTTTGCTTTGACACTTTTTAAGTAATAGACTCGCAACACTCATATCGCACTCACCAACACGAGGTACTTGTGCTCCTCGTCGTAAGGATCGGAGTTTCCACCGACGCTCAGGTAGACCTTCAGATCGGGAAACGATCGCTTCAGCTGCGTGGCGAGTCTGTAATAGGAATAGCCCGATCCGGTGTCCAAACTCGGCGAACCGGGGACGACCTCAAAGTCGGAATTGATGTGAGCATATCCATAGATCAGGTGAGTGCAAAGAGATAAAGCGGGTCTGACATCCTCAATTTGAAACTTCGCTGGACCTTTGAGGAAGGAAAAAGTGTCGTGAGTATCGATAAATCACTGACTTGGCTGAAAAATTGAAGGCCAGAAAAGGCAAAGAATTGTATTTAGATAATTTAAAGTCACATTTATAATTTCCGGCATTATCGGCTTTCGGATATAAATTGCCACGTGAAATGTCTATGCTAGATTTACACTGCCGTTCGCGATATGTTTGGCTTTGACGTCTATCGCAATCCAAATACACACAAGTGTCGGCAAACTGTAATAAATACAAGCCAGAGAAGTGTCGATATTATAATAACATGGGAAATACGCGACAGAAATGATCGAGGAAAGATTTCAGCGTAGCCCTCTCGTAATTATTTCGAAAGTTCGATATATAAAATAACAATGGCAATATTCAACAATGACATTTGCACATCAATTACAATCTTAATCGAACCCGCATTCATGAAAATTATATTTAACGTTTGCTGTTGCTCTCTAAAATTTGAAAACGGACAAACGAAAAATTACCTTTCCACGAGCTTTCGTGAATTGATGATAAAAGTTTTTTTTTTTAATTACCTAGCTATCTAAAAAGGGGGTGTTTAAATTTTTATTATTCTTTTATAATAAAATTGGCGAACGTTACGTAACATTTCTTATACAGAGAGATTTCACACGCTTGATAGCTTCCCAAGCAACGATTTTCCTTAATCCAAGATGATGAATATTCTTCCAACAGAATTTATACGTCGCAAAAGTATGAGTAATCGGTATGTGTAACTATAACAAACGGTCTCACCTTGCCTCTCATAGGCGGTACTGTTCCAATAGCAGACCACTTTGGTGTGCTCGTTAGGGTCTACGCCGAATACCGCCTGGATGCACAGCACCGCGAAAACGGCCGAAAGTATCGTCTTCATCCTCGCAGTCTGGAATCGTAACGCGTTCGCAATTAATCAAACCGACATCGTTTTGCATCGACCCAATTAGCAGGCCAATACGAAAACACTTGACCAGTGCAAATCGAAAGCGAGCCGGGATACTTTAGTCAAAGTAGACAGCGCGGTATATAATCACAAGTTACTGTTCAATACAGAAATATTGAACAGTTTTTAGACATTAACATTTTTCTTGCTCTATTTTATATTTCATTGTCCGAGGTATTTTATCCCCTCGAGCGATTTAGTAATCCTTCTGCTTTTAGGGTGCGCTCGGGCGCTAACCATCAGCGTTACTTAGCGATGAAAGCGTCGTTCTATCTCTCTTCGGCGCATAATGAGCAACAAAGGTAGAATAACGTTTTCAGCGCCAAGTACCCTTACGGAAAAGAAAACCACTCAAGTCTTGAGTGTTAGCACTCGATCGTCCGAATTTACTCTCAAATTTGGGCGTAAACACCCAGATTGAAATATTTACACCCTTTGAGAGTAAATTCGGACGATCGAGCGTTAACACTCAAAACTTGAGTGGTTTTTTTTTCCATAAGGGTAGCGCCCATAGCTCCCGAACGCACTTCCCTTAATCTTCAATATAACAATTGTCTCGCAACACTTTGCACTTTTAACTCTTTAACTCTTGTTCGATCGTATTCTTGAAAATTGAACCGTTCAGACTTGGCTACTATAATGAACCTCTCGCCAAACTGTTGGAGGGCTGTGAAAGTGGCCTCCCAAAATTCTTATGTTACTAACTTTTGTACTAAAAGTGCAAACAAAAATGTACAGCGATGGGACAGAACGATCGCTTCTTTTTAGTAAGTTGAGAAACGTGCGTTTAGATTCAGGCTTACGTTCCAAAATCTTCTTCTGCGAGGAATACTTTACTCGATGGCCATTCCAAAGTCATTTTGAGTATCTCCGGTCTATTTCTCGAGTAAAATTTTCCCCGTGAAATATGTTGTGGGACATAAACCCGAATCTAAATGCGCATTCTTAAACTCATTTAAAAAAGTGTTCTGTCCACCACTGTACTATACCTGATATGTGATTGCTCGAAATATTCTCTACTCGCGTCTTACCTTCAGTAACGAAAGGAGCGTACTGGCGCGCGCTTGCTGTTTGTCAGGGACTTTGAAACCTCGATCCGATCTTCGGTTCGAGTAGTGGGGCCTAGGCGATATTACGTCAGTCCCGTGATCGTTCATAAGCGAGTTTCGTCGTTGTATTAATACATATATGTATGTACAAGGTGGCCCGTGTTACAAACTGTTTCTCGAGAGACGTTTCAGAGACGTCGACATGACATGATGAAAATTTTTAGAATCTTTTCTTAAATCTTGATGCAATTGATAAAATTTTGGGTTCTACCCAAAACGATCTGTTCCCAATTTCGAGAGTAATTTTGGCAATTAACCAATCGACAAGAATAACAAGAGCAAGAATGAAAAAAATTGTCACGTTTCTTTCGGTTCTCGAAATTGCTCAAGTTACCACAAATCGCATGTATTTTTCGACAGTCTGGCTTTTGCGTGGATCACCTTGTACACCGTATACCGTGTATCTTGTGCGTTGCGAGAATTCAGATGAACGGTCGAAACTCACGCACACCGAGTGTCCAAGGTCGAAGGTTGCCAAATGAAAAGTATCGCCGAGAGAGACGAGTCGCGACGAGCAAATGAACGAAGCTGTCAACATTATCCGTATTATTAGCAATTATCGCGCATTTCTCGTAAATCAGACGATAGCCAGGAAATTAGTTCAGGATTTATCAGCGCAGCTGTCTCGGGGAACGCGACATCTGATACTCCACTTTTCTTTATTGCATTTCTTTCCGTAAAACTTATTCGCGGAAACTTATGAATAAATGTATGGCAGCCTTCATTAAACTCGATATATTCGACAAAAAGGGAGCAATGCAACGGATATCTGCGACACCCTGTACATTTTTGCCCTTGGAGAAGTACTGAATTTTGAGGGCGAGGCTTCATCCCTGTAGGCTTTGAAGGATCGATCGCTGGAGCATACATAATTGATCCGCGGTGGTTTCTCCATTTTATTCCGAGACACCTCGCGCATAAAACTAGCGCATTTACATCGACGAGTGTCCTCTGATTTGCAAATAATATTAACGCCACTCGGATGAAATGAAATCTTTGCGATGAGCTAAAATCACAGATTACAAATATATTCTACAGTACAACGTCACTCTTCTCTTCTCGAGCGGAAAGTCGGTGACTCACCAAGTATCGATGCAAATTCATTTGATGAAGTTACGTAAATTTCTAATCTTTAAATTCAACACGCGACGTTAACGCCTATATTTTTCATATTGTAGTTAATAAGAAGCAATTCAATTATATTACATTTTCTCCTAAGTCTTACATTTACACGTGATATTAATAATTACATTAATTAGGTACATGCTCGTAGCATCTCTTCCTAATTTCGCCGTGTCTCGCGTCCGTTCATTTCACCACATCTTTTGTACGTCTCGTCTTCGTGAACCCCCGAATCTAAGAATCCGTAATTTTACGAGAAGAATTTCCGCCTATCTGTTTTTTCTCACGTGGAAAAGTGACTCAACGCGGTCATGCAACCTTGCACGAAGGTCTCTGGTACGTGAGCACTTCTAATCTATAAGAAGACTCATAAGAGGATAATTTGCCGCGACCACTTATTGTTAGCACATTCGTAGACACGCTGACGTGAGCATCCCATCTAAGCTCTGCAACGTGACTACCTATCTACGACGTCTCCAAAACACAGCAATGCTACTCGTGGCGAATCTCGTCGAAATAATCCTCCACGATCAAGAGTGTATCCTATTAGCTACACCGTATTTCTTTAGTCAATCCTCTCGCGATAAATGAAGCGCAAGTGTATTATAATTCGACATCCAGTTGTTCTTTTAGTTTGACACTAAATATCTTTTTTCCCTACGTTAAAATAATCCAAGTAAAAGAAAAGCTTTCATCTTCTCAACTTGATATATTTTAAGTATTTGCAAAATTTCATTGCACAATAATTTATTGTAACATAATTTTTGTCGTTTCTTTTTCGTAAATCCGTAATTGTCTGAAATTAGGTATTTTTTGTGGACGATACAACCCCCGATGAAACGAAACCTAAATAGCACCGGGTGATTTTTCAATTAAATGGTTGCGAAATAATTGAAATGGCAATGCAAACTTTCCTTCGGTATTCATTGGATTCGTCGGGCAACGCGGGCGCTAGGCGAACGAATTACAGCAGAACATTTGATAGCCAGGGGAAATTACCGAGTTAAAAAAGATTAAAACGATGATCGTGCACGCACAAATCTAGCGAGTGTTTGCGTACTCGATTCCGCTGCAAAAGCCTGCTTGAAGCACGGTTCACGAAGAACAAGGTCGCCGATGATAACTCGGGCGAAAGGTTACTAAATAAGTAAACTGTTTCTCTTATATTCCGAGTGAGAAACGTGAAAGCTGTGTGTGTTAGTACTTTCAAAAGTACTTTCAACACATAAACAATTTCTCTAGATGTTACGAATATACAGATAGAAGAAGCGTGGCGTTGAAAAGAGCAGCGAAGGAGTATTTTTATATTGCTTTTAATATTGCACGATAGGAGAAATAAAGAATACAGCGTTTGCATTTTTTATAAATCGCTATTGTTCTATAACTTCATCAAATAAGAGAAGAAACCGTTTCAGAAATAAATATTTTCCAGGGAGGGAAATTGAAATAAATAGAACAGTAAATCTAGATAAGAAACTTTAGCATACTCGCTACATACAAACCGGGATATGCCTAAAATTTAAACAAACTATAAATTAATTGAAGCTCCTGTTGATATTCGCATCGTTATTCGATTACGAGAATTACAGTCTCTTTAAAATAATGAGGGTAATGAATTTCGAATTCACGCTTCCGAAATCATCTGCCGAAGCGGCAGATCTCTGATAGATTTGGTTATATTTTTAGGGAAATTGTTCCAACTGTAAAGATGGTTTTCCGCAAAGCAGGCGAAAGCAAAACGTCTTGTACGACGATCGATTCTGAGAACCGATAGAGTTGTAAGATTCTATTGGCTTATGTAATACTTATGTCAGAAGAAACAGCAAACAACTTTTAACGATATATTTATACGCTACGCTGTGATAAATACGTTAAAATATTCTTCAAATGATAAAAAGTTATCGGGCAACGAAATTTGTTCTTGCACAAAATATTCCACTCGCGCCTTATTTTTCAGACCTATTATTCTTTCATCAATCTGAGATCGATTTTTCCGATTTAGCGAAAGCATTAAAATTGACTTATCGGGACCAATTATCGTTGACCTTTTCAATTTTTAATAATGCGATTAAATCAGTATTAAATTATTAAAATCAATCTCGAAAAATAGCTAAAGAATGTAATTTTGTTATTGTGAATTCCATGTGAAGTTTAATTAACAAAAAAATATTCTTTTCTCGATCGTTTATAATCTGGAAATTATTGGGAAACATTTGGCTAAGAAAAAAATCAACTTTAAATTGCTTAAAAAATCGTAACTGATAATATACTAAGAGTGCATTAAAATTTGACGTGTATTTATGCTTATTAATTTTCAAAATTATATTGACTCACACATTTATCGCCGAGTATTTCCGAAAGAAACTTTTTTGAGAAATGGTTCTCGTCAATAAATGTCAATTGCACCGTCAACAGACGACGAAATCATGTTTATTCAATCAAGAAGTAAATACAATCTCGTTTCTAGCCAACAGCTAGTTTCGACACGAATCGTGAAAAAGTAAACGCACACGTTCCGTCGCCATCGGAAATGTACGTGACTGTGTTTAAACCATTAATAATTCAATCTCGAGTTATCGATTCCGCTGATAACCTATTATATTATTATATTACTCGAAGCGAATCTTAATTTATTTCTTAAGCAGCAGGTTTGATGAGAAACTATTGATTTGCGGGAAAGTTGTCTAAAGAAAGACAGGAGAAACCACTGGAAAAATCTGTTTTCAGACGTTTTTATTACGAAAAGAACGTTATGTACATTTATCGTCTCTCTGTATATATACTAAAAATCTATAACTATAACAAAACATTATGTTCATCTATGCTCATCGTAAACTGCTTAATAATAATTCTTTCCCGGTTAAGTTTTCAACGCTTAACTTAATCAGTTAAGTCAAAATTCGTCAGGTTTTCGGCAAGAACAGAATAAATAAGATATAAATATTCTTGTATAGATTGCTCCGTTGACGATTACAGTAAATATTGTATTAACTTGACGATACATCGATTTCACGATATATAAACATACATATACATGTACATATTTATATATCAATTCGATAGTACGTCTATTTTTAATTTTACTTAAAACAGATGCGCATGACTCTGCGATTGCTAGCGACAACGGAGATCTTTAGAAGAAAAAACAAGATTAAATTAATTCAAATGATGTAAGCCGTTTTAACCAAGTTGGTAATCTCGATTGCCGATGTACCATTGTCGCCGTGATAACGGTATCGTAGAAGGTTTAGATTGCAACAGTAGGAGTAACTTCGTATTATATAAAAATACTAGTGTGTTACGTTGCGATGTTGTGAGATCGAATCATTCATGACGAGAGATTTTAGTGTAATTTTTTTCGCATTTATATACAAAATTGCATTTATACAAATAATATAAACGCTGATGTCATCACATGTAGATTACATTGACATTTTCATGTATTTACATGTGATTGTATATAAAAAGAAATTAATTTCCCTAATTGACGATAACATTTTCTTTTATTGTAACACAAATCCATTATAATGCACGAATACTGGGCGTGGTTTCCGAGGTACTTTCGCTACGTTACAAAGTTAATTCTGCTAGTGCAATCCAAGTTCAACTTAATGCATTTGTAACAAAGTCACGAGTGTCCCAAGTAATAAACGCGATTAAGTCACTCGACTCGTGCATTGTAGATCTTAATCTAGAAAAATACAGTCTATCTTTGTTTTTGTTTCTTCTTCGAAAGTATGCGTTACAATAGTTTATTCTGAACCTTCTGTAATTACCGGAACCGCCTAAGTCTTCGTCGAACGTCCAGATACGCTTGACGATATTTGTACCGTGTATATACTATCATATATCGATATTTAGTTAAAATCTTGTACAAGAGCTCGCGTATGAAAGATGTATCGGATCCCTGCTAGTTCCTCGTCACACATCGAATGATTCGTACAGATTATAATACACAATAAGTATTCTTCGCTGATTAAACCCGATCGTGAATATCGGTCAGGTCAGGTCAGATCGGGTCAGGTTGTTTGACTATTTTTCAGCCCACTTCCTCTTGCACCAACCAGTCGGCGCGTCGCGTTATAAAACATTTGAACGACGACGCTGATTTTATTCCCGCTTGCCTTCCTTCAAATTATGCGGGTATTCAAACATCGTCGCCCTCGTCTGAAATTCAGATGCGAGAATAATTTTGTGATCGCGACATCAATTGCGCGCGGTCGGATCGATTCGAATCGTTCTCAAGTTACCTTCCCCCTCGTCCTCGCCCTCCGCCAGATGAATATCGTTCTTCTGCTGCTCCTTGTCGTAATCGCCGTCGTACTGATCGTCACCGCCGTTAGCCTGCCCATCGTCTAATCTAAAACCAAATAATACGATGAAATTTATCGAGATTGAAAGTACCATTGGAAAAATCTTCATAGACAGAAAATTATTTGCACACAATCAAGTTATTTAAATATTTTATGTACACTAATAATAAGAGTATGCTATGAATACATTTATTCAATCGCGATAGAAAAACTAGAACTCACCCGGGAACTCGATTGAGTTCCTCGCCGACCTCCTGTACCCCAGGCCCCACCCTCAACCAAGCGTCTTTCGCTCTCCTCTCGACCTGTTCGCCAACGTGCCGCACGGGGGGATTTGCGACGAACGGTGGGTCCAGATTGCCAGCCTCGACTATCGGTTCCTTTTCCTCCTTGTCGTCCGCCGCGTTAGCCGGGGCGAGCTTCGCTGGCGGTGGCTGCAAATTGTCAACTGCCACCGCCTCCTCCCGCTTTCGGACCTCTTCCTGGAGCTTCTCCTTATCCGCGTCGTCGTTCTGCTCGATGATTTCCGGTATTGGCAACACGCCGACCGGTACCTTGACCTTCGACAGCGGTCTGGCTGGTAGCGGCATAGGCTTGTCGAGGAGAGACGGCGATACCGAGTTGACGTTGTTCGCCGCGGTGATGTTCTGAGCTCTTCGTGAACTCGCCACGCTCTGGAAAACAAAAAAAGGTTTTCACACGGTTACACATGGTACAGCGCAATTGTTCGGTGATCGCAGGCGGGAACTGCTCGATGTCGTGACGTCTTACTTATTTAATCCTCGCAGTTATATAAAGTTACGGTAAAACCGGTTACAGCGACGATTGTCACTTCTCGAAATATACCAAGGAACTATTGTTATAGGACATTTTCAACTTTCCAATTCATAGTTCGAAATCCATCTTGACATTATGCGTCGATAAATCATTGTCTCGCTACGTAAATCCTCCATAGCGTAGTCGTGTAAAGAATGTTGTTCATTAGCACCAAATAGATAATCTGTCTGATACAGATGAAGCACAAAGAAAGTTGTAAATGCAGTGCGTAATGCAGCAATTCTACGCATTGGGAATAACTTGAGTTGAGAGGTAAATTAATCAGCGGTCCAACGAGAAGAAAAGCTACACTATATAAACGAAATACGAACTTTTCTTAAAGATCGATAAATTTGCAAGCATTTGTTTAGCGCGGCTACAGGCAACAGCCTCGAACAACGTGAACTAATTGGCGGCGGCGATATACGGTAAAAGCGCGATGCAGAAGCTGATAATAGTTAGGTCGTTACGAGGTTGCCAATAAAAATGCCAACGGATAAACGTAATAACAATTTATTAATGCATCGTGGAACACAGATTTACAGGCACATTGAGTATGGCTCGCGAGCCATTTTACACATATACACGAACACAGTATTTCCAATAACAGAAGCGAGGTAGGTAAAAAGATCGGTCGAAAAGATTGCGTATGTATGCATATACACGAATAGAATCTCTTTAAATATTGATTTATTTAATTGAATAATATATACATATACACATAGATGTATATGTATATATTAACAAAATCTCTCTGTGAATATTCTTCTAGCACTCTTCAAACACCCAACATTTATTCAACAACATTGGAATTATGTAACGATAAAAATATCTACAAAAGTGCAAACGGTACAACAGTCTAAAAAATGTTTGTAAGATTATGGCATTTTTTACTGTTTAGAGATTCTTCGATATATAATTATACATATACATATATATATAAAGTGTTTAATAAAAATGTTAAGTCATTAATAATATTTCTTGTTAGAAAATTTTACAAATATTTCCATATATGATTTATAGAATTGGATCAGTGCATGTATAATGTTAACAGCTTCCGCATTCCGATATTAGTGAAGTGATACGCGAACTATCAGCGAATATATATTTTACATATATATTAAATAGTAAACGTTAGGAACACAGTCTGCTATTGCAACAAATAATATATGTATACACGCTGTTAATAATAGATAATGACTATATTATATTAAATATGTCATTTGTGACTAAAACGTCTTAAAACCGCTATTTTGCAGAAATTATGGAATAGTAAAACAAATAACCGAGGCAACTTTTTCACTTATTAATTATAAATAGAATAATTCTTCTTGTAAATTATTGTAAAATGACTACAATATAAATGCGATATGTAGTAATTTACTAAGGAAATTTATTTTATTTATAAGCAACATCTGAAGAAAAAGAACAATGACAGTTGCAATGAGTGAAAAAGAGAGAAATAAATGATTTTGCTTCATCACATGCATATGAAATTATGCGCATTGACTACACATGTCATTTATTTATCAAGCTTAGTATAAATTTTACGTGTAGTAAAAAGCGATAAAAGAGATGGATTACAATTTAAAAAATTACTTTGAGAAAAAGAACGAATACCAAAGTAGAGAAACTTGCTATTCTAATCCTATGTTGACGATAGCACTAATATACCCCAAAAGCATAAAGAACTGTTAGAAAAAAAGCACTTAGTTCTAAAACATATATTTATCACCGTTTTGTTACTTGACTTAGAATACAAAATATAAAACTTTGATGAAAATCAATTAGATTTTTCCTATTAATCCGTGCGTAATTGCATTAAAAAATTTGTCATTAACGAACAATGAATTAATTATGCATTAGTAATGAATGCAAATAATTAATATATCATTGTGGTTTATTTCATTATAATAAAATAATTAATTAAATTAATCATTCACAATTTCATCATTATTAAAATAAAGATTATTTTTGTATAATTATATACACGGCCACAAACTAGTCTTCTAGGATTAGGAGTCTTTTACGGTAAAATTTACGCAACTAACGGATTGAGGCTCAGAGAATTTGATTGAAATTGTACGACCGTTCCCGGCAAGTTAAACATAATTCGAATCATAAACGCGTGATAATGAGCAAAGCTTAACGAATTCCGCTATGGGGCACGTCACGAGTGAGGATCCCATCTACTCTTTCCTGCAAAGCCTGCAATTCGTCATCCTCTGCGTGGGTTTTGATATCAGTCGATCGACCAGACGTAACCGTGGACGCTCGCTCGACGGCAGGTTGCGCCAATGGTTGCTCGGCTTGCGAAGCCGGCACCGCCGAAGCGTTATCATTCCTCGGAACGTCATCGTCTCGATTCAGCGGCGGCGACATTACCTGTTTTCTTTGCTCTTCTTCGAGTCCATTCTTCTCTTCGTCTACCACGTTCGGGCGCTCGACAACGTCTTTCTGCTGCCTTTGCTGTAAGTCGTTAGCCGAGGGTTCGCGCTGCTCGCCGTTCTCTTTCACCTCGCCCGGGCCGGCTGGAACGATGTTGCCATTCTGCTGAACGAACCTAATATCGTTGGCCGGCTCGTTGACATCGTCGTTTAACGCTTTCTCCACTGACGGAGTCGCCCCTCCGACTGCGCGATGATCATAAGACACGTATGGTGGCTGCGGCGCACTTACCTGTTGCTGTTGCTGCTGCGGCGCCGGAATCGGTTGCGAATCTTCTTTCTGCAGCGCCGATTGCGACACTGACGCTCGTGGAGTCACCAAAACTGAACTAGGAGATGTACTTCTAGCATAGAATTTCTAGAATGCAATAAGAACACAACTTTTATGCGTCTTCATATAACTGTCTCTTCACGGAGAGAACTTTCTCTTAAAATTTACCCTGAAAATCGTGTAATCGTGGCATTTTGAACAACTTTATGAGAATTTTTTCAAGTAAAATGTATGGTAAAATTTCAGAACTCTTATAAAATTCTTCGAAATGTCGTGTTGTTACACGATTACACGCTTTTCAGGATAAATTTTAAGAGAAAATTCTCTCCGTCTTGTGCAATTTTAAATACTTAAAAGAAAATATAAATCGGTACTGGCCTGGCAAACAAACGTAATCTAATAAGATGCGATTATTGATTCTACATTTCATGTATAAAATGTAATTATTAACCGCCACATTTTCCAGCTGTTTATGAACATTAGAACTGACACTAATATGCAATTGTGTTGCTTTCAGGAAACCAGCGACGTACCTTGGCGCTCTCCAATTCACGTTTGAGCTGGAAGATCTCCTTCCTAAGGTGGTCGACGGTGCTGTCGGTATTGTCCCTATTCTGCAGCAGTTCGTTGTACTTGTCTTGCAGCTCTTTCTTCTCGTCGGTTATTTCCAGGTACTTGGTCTTCAAGTTCTCCATAGCCTTGAACTTGTCCTCCTGAGCCTGCCGGATGCGGGCGCGCAGGTCCTGCAGCGTCGTCTCCAGCCTGCTGGTCTCGTCCAGTGCCTGCTTCTCGTGCTTCTTACACTCCTCCTGCAGGTCCTGATGCTCCGTCTGCAGGAGCTTGTAGGTCTGCTGAAGCGAATTGAACCTCTGCATCGCCTCTATGCTGTCCTTGTCGCGCAGAGACTTCTCCCGCGACGCGCGCTGCTGCAACTCCTGCTTCACCGCGACGTTCGAGCTCTTCTCCTCGGCCAGGGACTTCTCCAGCCGTACTTTGTACTCAAATATTACTGCAAACATCGTGTCACGTTACCGATAAGTCTAAGTGAACGGCTATAACAGGAGTCTATGATCCGCAACTGATGACTCGAAGCCACTCATCAATATCTTGTCATAATTTAAATATTGGTAATTCGACTTCAACCCCCGGATAGTATTTAGTTACTTACGTCCCGTTGCATCGCACTTACCTTGTAGTTGAGCAGCGAGAGATTCTTGCTGATGAAGGCATTGCACTTGCATCTCTTGAAGCCTGGTCATCTCCGAGATGGTGTTGCGATACACGATCATCGTCAAGATAACCGCCACTGCGCAGCCCCCGTACAAAGCCAGGCGGCCACCTCGGCCTCTGCCAAGCCGCGAACCGCTCATCACTATCGACAGAAAAAAAAAGTACACTCATTATAATATTATCTGTTATAACAGAAGCATTGTTGCATCGACGAGCGGATTCGTATCAGTGCGTCCGACCACACACGCGTGACGTAAAGGTAATAATGTGTCGTTACTCTGACATTCCATCACCCGGAGAACCCAGTGCACCTGTCTTAATTTGCGCCGAATTCTGTCGAAACGTGTCCTACCGGCTGTCGCGATTAAAAACGTATGATAATGCGAATATACTTTTAATTTTCAGCGTAAGCTCGGCACGTTTTAACATCGAGCCGTTAGCCGACGACTGATGAAAATTCGTCAACAGACGCAGGGATAGCGGACATCATCAAGGACAACGAGACGAGCCAAAATATCGGTTTATCAATATGAGAAGGCGTATATCTATTACTTGAAAGTAAGTAACTCGTCGCGCGACGCTGTTTTTCCTAACACGAATCGACGCGTGGAATCTCGAGAGATGCCGATAGAACAAAGCAATTTACATCTTACGTTGGGAGAAATGACATAGTTTCTTTGTTCAATCAAACTTTCGGGTTCACGTAGAATGTAAGAGACTTGTTTTAGAAATAATATTTATTCAATTTTCAAAGTTAGCAGCGGTTTGTATTTTATTACGGGAAGAAAATGCGCTTTACTGAAACATTTCGAAGACCTCGCGCGGTGACTGGACGGTCAAAGCCACGTGCATTTCATTATTGTGCGGCGTATAATCATTAATTGTTTGTACTCTACAATTTTATCAGAGAAATATCAAATAGTGTTTACGCGCTTGACAATTTGCCGCGCGTACAAAGTCCAGTTTTCGAAACGTGTCGCCGCACAATGGAATTACGTCAAACGCGACGGCGATCGTAATTAAAGATAGAACAAAAATGTATTTAACAAGTTCGCGAGACGAGAGGCGGGAAAAATAATGTCCTGCTTCAATTCCTTCAGGGGCAACGTATAACTCGCGTTTATTTTAGAATCATTTAAAAGATACTCGCTCACCCTTTAAACTAAAACAAGCTCCATATCTACTGAACGAAATGAGAAGAAAGAGTTAAAAAGGTATCAGGTGTTGGTGGGACACGATAGAAAAAGAAACGGAAGGGATATCAGGGTCGGACATCCAGATATCCCGGTATTACTAGTGTAATTTACGAAACAGCCCCGTTGGCCTCGTTGGTCCGACGAATCGTTTAGCTTTCACTTTCGTTCCTTTTCGTCCGGATCGTCCCACTGCCGTTCTTCGGCCTCGGAAAAACGGAGGAACGTCGCTCAAGTGCTCCTTTGTCTTCGCTAAACAGTCTCTCTAGATAGAGACTCGCAAGACCTAATTAAATAGCGCAAGCCATGCGCTATTTAATTCCTTCGCTCTTTGCGTACATTTGCAGTTGTATTTTCTATTAAAGGGAGGGGAAAAAGTTGAAGAGTCAATTGGCAAGGATTCCCGATAAAATCGGGGACTGACTTTGAACTAATTAAAATCCAAAGCTGTTTATTAAAGGTGAAATTTCGCATCGAGCATTTATTAATTACAACAATATGTGAAAGGTTTCTCAGTTACCGTCTCGCTGAAAGGGAGTTTTTCTCGACTATCGCAAAATGTCCCCCCTTGATGTACACCCAGATATTAAATGCCATTCGTAGTAAATATCAGAACATGTCACGTCGATCCGACAGGCAATCTCAAATAAAATAGCTCGATACTCCGTCAATCAATCGTCGATTCCGAGGGTCGAGATTCGCTCTCTTCATATAGGTCTCTCTCCCAATTTAATCCACCTGCCCTTCGCACTCTTTTTCTCGACCTAGGCGCGCTAATGAGAGTTTTCGCCGTGCGAAACGGGCAGATTCGCGAGGCGGGCGTGAAACGGAGAGAGGGAGAGAACGAGAGAGAGAGAGAGAGAAATATAACTACTTAGCAGCTGGATTCGAGTTCACTGACATTTCGGAGCACGCGCGATACGGGGTCCAGTTTTGTTTGTAGAAAGCACGACGGCAATGACAACGCAACGGCGGCGTCGACGACGAAAACGACGACGAGGGGGGCAAGAGCGAAGAGGAGGAGGACGACGCACGTGCACCGTTTCCGCGCGCGGAAACGCGACGCTCGCCCCTTGGCGTCTGGCATCTGGCATTCCGCACGCGGAAGTATCGCTGCCGACACACAAGTGCACGTCCCTCCCCGGGAAATACCGAGTCATCCGAGATAATTCTCGGGGTCCAGTTCCGAGAGCGGGTAAACGCGCGTCACGAATGTCGGGCAGATTGCATTTGGGACATTTACCGCGATGCGCAACGCCTTGGCGTCCGACTTGGCAATTAACGGGCAGCGGGAAGCCACGCGTAACTGTTTATTAATCGGCGAACTAAATACATATAGATGACGCTAAAATGCCGACAGCTGCTAAAACATCGCGATACCGCGAGGGCCGCAAATGAAGCGCGCTGTGTACGTGTGTGCGGGCCGCGTATCTATACATAATGAATTGTTGACATTATTGCCATTGTTGACGCTGTAATGCTAAACTGTATGCAGCATTGAGAAATTACCAAATATATATTACAATCCACGCCGATTGCAACGCAGATAAGACTCGTGACGTTGAAATCGAGATCCCCGCACTGGAAAAAAAGAATTCCTTTAGGATTTTCCATGAAAGATATGTCATAACCAGAAGTTTGCTAGACTTGACTACAAATCTGATAAATCCTAAAGGAATTCTGATTCGTCCATTTTCTAACAGACGACTGGTATCTATCAGATATTTTTTTCAGTGCGTAATTCGGTAACATAATATTGAGAAGATCGCACGTAGGTTTCACTTGGAATTAATACAATTGCCTGGGATATTTTCCTTCTTTTTTTCCTCCAAATCATCCTGCAGTATAATGAATGATTAAAAAGATTATTAAAAATGTCTTCTAATTAAATTACAGCCAGTTGCGTCGAGTTAATATCATTTTTCTGTTAGTCATTTACTGGCGAGGAAGAAAAATTATTACATGTTAATTAAAAACGGGTGCAAAACAGTGCGCGCGTCTGTCGCAGCGCATTGTTGTAAATCTCTAGAGTACTGTTATACAAAAAAACACTATTGTGTGTTTAAACAATTTTTTAATTAATTGCAGAATTGCCTAGTAGGACATTTGCGTATTCTCTTGCCGATCACCCTGCGGTGGTGAATAATAACAATAGGCGAGAGCGCGATATTCTGTCCATTTCGCTCCAAAAATGAGGAAAAAAAACACAAACGTTTCTCCACGGTGCGAGAAAATTCATTTATTCGTCGACTGTTGCGGCAGTTACTTCGGCAGACGTCTTTGATAGTCGCCGTACACATTTACAACTGACAGGAATCGTTTTGTCCGCATCGCGTATGCGGATTTCAACTCGCGTTTACGTTGTTTACCTTCTCCGCCTGTAGTTCCCGGAAGAATAGCACCTCTTACCTGTGCAATTAGGAACCTTGCACGCAATTATTGTATTCCTAGAACAGATCCGTTCGCGTCGCATACACCGCGCAAATGTACGTGTACGCACGTACTTGGTTTTTTTACATCAATTTTCTTCCTTCCTTTCGCTCGGGCCCTCTCCCCCTCTCACGCTCGTTTAATCTCCAGCGCAAGTGCGAAGAGAAAAGGATGCACGTAGCGAGAATGCGCTAATAATATCGCGATACCATTTTCTCGACCACATGCTCGTAAAATATTAGATTAGATTGGTATAATACTAGGTTTCGTAAAGAAAGTACTAACATGCGAGAACTAAAAATAAATTCACTCCGAAGGCGAGAGAGAAATTTAATTTGAGTCGATCTTGCACCTTGTAAAACATAAATAGTTCAAGATCAGCCTGAAGTTTCTCTCTCTCTCTCTCTCTCTCTCCCCTCTCTCCCTGTCTCTCCCTCTTTCTCTCCCTGATTTTTCCTGATTTTCCCCGTCTCTCCCTAATTTTCCTTGTCTCTCCCCGTCTCTCCCTGTCTCTCCCCGTCTCTTCCCGTCTCTCCCGGTCTCTCTCTCTTTCTCTCTCTGTTTCTCTCTGTCTCTCTGAAGCAGTTAGCCTTAGCAGTTAGCAGGATTTTATCTAATCGAGGATCTTGCGCTTCCCTAAGTAGTCAGACTAGGATTTTTAAGAGAATCTAAATGGATACGACAGCGTCAACAGGTTTCCCAGCTGAAATGCATTTTCGTGGCAAGAGAAACTCGACAATCGTTCAGTCCAGCCCGATAATAACTCGATAAGAGATTCATTGATACCGCGAATTGGGGAGCGAATTTTTCATTTCTCATCGTTCGTTATCGAATCATTTATTATCACCTCGGTGTCCCTCCGCGCACGCGTATCCCCGTAATTCGACCGCGATTGCTTTCGCAGCAGATTTGCCCGTCTAAATTCCGTTCGGCGTGCGATTTGTCGTCGAAATCGGATCGGCCCGACGGATCGGCGGGGACGAGAGCGCCGTACCGTCGTGCCACGCCACCGCGGATCGCCCTTAGCTCCCCGGAGCCCCACGGGTTAATTAGTTAGCGCGTGCGACCATTAGCGCGAGGCGAGGCGACACGTAGACAGGCCGCGTGCCTCCCAGGCGCGATCCCGAGGACCGACAGACCGGCAATCTGAATGGCGAGAATGTCCCTACGGCCGACGACGACTCTCCGCGCGCGCCGTACACGTGGAATCCGCGCCCGAGTGACGTTTCGTCCGCGAGAAGGCGAACCGTCGCGTCGCCGAGGGGCCCTCGCGCGTTAAACTCACCGCTTACGTACGAATCGCGGCTTATATGACGGACCTTTTTCTTCCGCCTGGAAAGGAAAAGGATCAACATGTAGTTCCGACTTCTGATTAACGAATAATAATTCATTGTAGACCGGGCCTAAATATTGAGGGTGGCGCGGGTGAAAACCGAGCGAGAAACACAGTTGTGGAAAATTGTCTTGGAGCCGGTTCTACGTGCGCCACTGCGTATAGAAGAGATATAAACGCGTATGTGCTTTCACGCCTTACAAGTACTTTCACACCTTAAACGCCGAGATGGCCGAGATAAAAAGGTAACCCCTCGGGACCGAGCGTGGCCGTCGTACCTTTGAACGCGGAACAAACGGATCTCGCGCCGCTAACGAGCCACCGATCTTAATTCCCAATAAACGGCGTAGACAATTACAGCTCTAAGTCCCAGTCTACAATAGATGATGGGCAAAACAGCTGCTTAAGGCCCGAACACACGACAACGCTTAAGACTTAGGAATTTCAAGCAATCGGAATTTTCAGCGTCGCTTAAGTTGCAAAATAACTGCTTACATTTTCATGCAGTCATCGGTCATTTAAGTCTCAAGCAGCAAAACTGAAGACTTAAGGGAAATGACCAATAACTGTTGAGAACGTAAGCAGCCATTTTGAAACTTAAGCAATGCTGAGAATTCCGATTGGTTGAAATTCTTAAATCCTAAAGCTCGTATCAGACTACGGATTGAGATTGAGATTGGATTGAAATTTGACCAACTGGAGTAAAAGTTACTGAACTTGAGATTAGTAAACTTTACTGTAGATACATTTTATTGATTCCCCTTAGGGTTACAAGGCGTTTTTGAAGGAACGTGCCCAAACCTCTTATAACACTTCTTCTCTCTATATCCACTTCTCTATGTGGCGATCGAACGAAAAACCAAGAATGTTTGGTTTTGAACCCAGGTCTTCGGATTACCAGACCAGCGCACAATCCTCTGCGCCACGATCGCCACTTAGTAAAAACTTTACTGTGATTGGTTAAATTTCAATCTAATCCCAATCCCAATTCGTAGTCTGATACGGGCTTAAGTTTTACTGCTTAAGTTCTTTCGTGTGTTCGGGCCTTTAAGGGAAATGACCAATGACTGTCGAGAACGTGAGCAGCCATTGCGAGACTTGAGCAACGCTGAAAATTCCGATTGGTTGAGATTCTCAAGTCTTAAGTTCCACTGCCCAAATCCCACCGTGTGTACGGGCCTTAAGTTGAGACGACGCGCTCGGGGTTATTAAAAAACGGCCACGCGAGATAACGAGGCGGGGCATTCTTTCGCGGGCAACACGTGTGCGCGTCGACGTAAACGTAAGCCCACGAGATTAGCTTTACGACGTAAACAATAGCGTTACGTAAAACAACGCGGGTAAAATAGCACTTGTAACGTCGCTTCCCGAGGGACGCGCGGGACCGCGGGGCGCGGATGACGTTCCGCGCTCGGAGGAAGCCGCGACTCTAGTCCTCATCGAGACAAACGAGGTCGCGATCTCCATATGGCGAGAGGCAAATCCTCTCCGCGGGCAGCGCGTCGCGGCTGATAAGAGAGTGCCTCGCGCGGCCGGGAGTTAACCTCGCGAACCGTCGCCAGCATCCGCGCGGCTCCGGGGCTCGCGCTCCGAGAGGGCAGCCCCCCCCGCGACCATCGCTGTAACGCGAGCGCCGGAGAGGCAAAGGGGAAAGAGAGACTCCGCGCGCGTGTCGCACGGCACCGACGACGCGGAGCGTCGGTCCGCGGTGAGAGCGCGACGCTCCCGCGGGGACGCCGGGAAGCGGAGCACGTACCTCGTATGCCCCGGCGTGGACGACGGCGAGCCCGCGCTCAGCTCTCCTTCATCGCCGCGCGACGCGTCCCAGCCCCGGCGTCAGGCGTCGTGCTCCAGCGTCTCGACGTCCTCCCTCGTCGTGCTCCGCCGTCACGGATCGACGAAATGGCGACGGTGCGTTGCGACGCGCGTGCGAACGGTGACTGCCGCCGACGGCGACAGCAGGCGACAGCGGCTCCACGCGGCGTGTTACGCGAAACGCGGCGGTGGCGACGACAGCGGCGACGGGCGACGGCGGTGACGGCGAGTGGACGCGGCCGCCGCGTGTTCGCATAAGGTGCGGCTCCGACGTCCTTCGGACGCGCGCGGACGCTGCTGGGGGTCGGAAATCGGGAGACGATCTCCAGGAGAGAATCGCGCCAACACCGACGGCTCGCTAATGCGAGGAGAGAGAGTCGCGACGTCTCCGGGAAATTCCCCGCGCGCGGAGCGAACGGAAGCGTCTCGCGATTGGCTGGCGACCACGCCAGCGGGCGAATGGCCGTCGTCGAACGTGCGACCGAGCGACCTATCGGCGTACGAGAGATCGCGGACAGTTTCGACCGCGACGGTTCTCAGTGCGACGTGAGGTCGGGACGTTGCTCGACTTGGAATGACTTTGATGAAATTTTGTTACTTTGGTTGGCTAATTATTGTCTTCAGCTAAATTTTAGGGAAATGTGTCAAGATAAAACGTCCTTTTTTTGTTTCATTATACGATGCAAGTATGATTGTGAAATTGCAATGTGCAAGGATCCACTTTTCGGAAGAAACTTTTATGTCTGTATTTAGCATAAAGGCCTGTGTCCATTAGATATTAGAACTTGATACAAGTATAAATTTTAGTTCCGTAAAATGTGTAGCCAATCAACTTGCATCGAATTCACATTACAGGAAATTCACGACGCGCGATTCTCAATCTTTTTCGCTCTAGCGTGGAAAGTGAAGAATTTCATTGACGAATATCAGCTGCTTTCCTTTTACACTCAAGTGATACTGAGTCACTCAGTTATGTGAGTATTTTATACTCAGAAATCTCACTTCTCAAGAATCAAAAGGAACATGCATTCAACTGAGTTATGACGTCACAAGTGAGATTTATCTGAGTTTTCATGTAAAAGAAAAGCAACGATTGATTTCGCGAATGAAATTTTGCACGAATTGACGAGATCACGTTAGAGGAAGGGGCTCACGATCGAACCCCCAACGCGAAAGATGAGAGAAAAAAAGAGCCAGGCGGACAGGAAGAATGAGCGTCACTGCGACCTGGGGAGTTTCGGTCGGCGCGCCGACGACGGTTGGCGGCACCGTCGCTCCGCGGGGCAAGGCTCCACGGGCGACGGCTGCTCAGTTAGGGATCTCGGTTGCATCGTGTCGGTTCACCGGACCTACGTGCGATCGCAAGCGTATACGAGGGAGAGCCAAGGCGCGCACACACCCGCCGCGCGCGCTCTCTCCCTCTTTCTCCCTCCCCCTCTCTCTCTCTCTCGCTCTCTCTCCCTGCGCCGCCCATCGGCTCTCGGCCGTGTCGCGCGGAGAGTCGTCGAGTTTTCGGCGGTGCGGACGTTACGGAGGGCCCCCGCACACCGCACGCGTTCGGCCGCGCGCTCCTCCGCATCGACCGTGTGCCAGGACAAGTGCGCGAACGGAACCCGGAGTTGGGTGAGAAGGAACGAACGGCCGGAAGTAGGAAAGCCGTCGCGCGGCGGACGTGCGCTTTTATTCCTCCCTCCTACCATCGCGCTCGCTCGTTCTCTCGCTCCCTCTACCTCTCCCCGTCTCTCTCTCTCTCTCTATCTCCCTCGCGCGTTCTCTCCTCTGTGTCCCGCGTCGAGTTCTCTCGTCGACGGCCGTCGGGTCGCGCCGCGCTGCGCGTCGTGTCGTGTCGTGTCGCGTCCGAGCCAGAAGAGAGAGAGAGAGACCCGTCGCGCCTCGGCCGCTCGGCGAGCCGCGCCTCCTGGACTCGCGCGCCGCCGAGAGCGAGAAGCAAAAAAAAGGGGGGAAAGAAAGAACGGCCGCCGCGCCGTCCGCCGCGGGTGACAGTGACATGTGCGTTGCTCCAGTGCCGTGCACCGCTGCTGCACCGTCGCCGTCGCCGTGGCCGTACGCCGGAGTAGCTGCCTGCCGCCTGTCCGCTGCGCTGACTGTGACCGTGACTGCCGCCGCCGCCACCGCGCTGCCGTTACCGCCGTGCCACCTCGCAACCGGAGCCGCCGCTGCCCGTTGCCGTTGCCGTTGCCGTTGCGATGCGCCTCGTCGACGATGCCGCCGCCCGCCGCGAGATGCTGTGAGTATACACGTCCACCCAGCGGCGAACGGCGACTCCTTTCGAGGAGCCGACGGCCGCGCGCGCGGGACTCGTCCTCCTCTCGCGGTCCTCGCCGCGCCTCGCGATCCTCCCGCGGAGAGAGAGACCTCACCGCGATCGCCCGCGCTTTTCCGTTCTGTTTTTTTCTCTCCTCTCTCTCTCTCTTTCTCTCTCCGCTCCGGATTATTTATGGTCGAGATCCGCGCGCTCGCACACCGCTTCTCCCTTCCCCCCCCCCCTTTCCCGCTCGAGATACGCTCGCGGCGTGGAATAATAATTTCTCCGCTGCGCTTCTGGGCCGCGGCGCGTATCGCTCGGCCGCCTCCTCCTCGCGCCAACCCGTTCGCGATCCGCCGCCGGTCGTCCGTGTCGCGGAAGGAGAACGGCCGGCCTCGCCGTCGCTCCGGGAAACGGATCCGCGAAACCGCGGGGAAATTCGCGCGCCCGCTCTTTCTCTCTCTTTCTCCCTCTCTCTCTCTCTCTCTCTCTCTCTTC